TAATTTTTAAACTAATGTATATATCAATGTACTTAATTTCATGTTTTGATGAGAGTAATTTATAAATTTTGAAATTTTATGTTTTAAATTATAATGTATTTCCCTCTACTTTTATTTGAATTTGTAGTGTATAAAAATGTAATACATTAGACATGCATTAAAGATATGCAGTATATAAATATTCAAACTATAGTATATAATTCAAACTATGCACATCCTAAATTCAACATTTACATTAAATTGCTTTGAGTTAAAAAATTATTTAAGTAGTTTTAACTGTACCGATATCAATGTCAATTTCCAATAGTTTCTAGAATCTCCTGTATAAAACAAGTTAAATTCCTGTATAATTTTCGGTTAAATTCTTGTCAATATTATAATGCAAGATTTATAATTAGTTATCAGATTTTTTAATGTGGTCTACTTTTAGATATTACATCAGTTTTGTGTATATTTATTCAGATCTAAAAAGTGCTTAGTTTTGGTTTTATGTAATTACGGCAAAGCCTCGAGGGCTATCTGCCTAAAGTGAGGGTTGCCTTCGTGGAGGACATTCTAAGGAAAACTAGCTCGTATACACGTAACACATGGGGAAAACCACGAAAACGTCCATGCAACCAGCCCGTTCGCGGGATTCCAACCTTGGACCGAACTTCTAGTGTTCAGCGATTTTACCGGCCGCTGGTGGATCGATTTAAAAAGGGTATAAATATATATGTACTGCAATTTCTTTCACTGCATCTGTTAATATATTTATACAGTTATATATATATATATATATTTAAAAACAGATTTTCTGTGCCTTAAACTTCTATGCTTCTGGAAGTTACCAATGATATATCTGTCATTCAGATACATTGGTAATGACGCCCATGCGTCCAGCCCGTTCGCGGGATTCGAACCTCGGACCGCACTACCAGTGTTCGGAGATTTTACCGCTCGGCCACTAGTGGGATCGACTTAAAAAGGGCATAAATAGGAATATGTACTGCAATTTCCTTTCACTGCATATATTAATATATTTATAATACATTTATATATACATATAGTTATTTATTTAAAACAGGTTTTGTATGCCTTAATTTTTTATGCTTTTGGAAATTACGAGAAATATGTTGGTAATGACAGACAGATATATTGGTTATCAGAGATATGTTGGTAATGCAACAAACCCGTTCGCAGTATTTGGACCTCGGACCGAACTACCAGTGTTCAGCGATTTTACCACACGGTCACTGGTGGGATCGATTTAAAAAGGGTATAAATAGGAATATGTATTGCAATTTCCTTTCACTGCATATGTTAAAATATATATATATGTGTGTGTGTGTGTGTGTGTGCAAGATAATATGTTTTATGATTTAACCTATAGTTATTTAATTTTTTTTATTTTTCTTCCTATTACTTTTGTTAAAAGTTTGTTATATTTTTACTCACTGCTTATTGGTATCTACGATACATAGTATATTTGTAGCTACGTGATAGGTATAATTCCTGAATAAATAAAATTATTGATATAATCATGGGTTGCTAAAAATTAAAATTTTTTTTGATTCAAATTCATTAGGAATATTAAACACGCGTACGCGGTGCTATATTTCAATGATTTGACTTATGACGTTGTTGCATAACCTTTTCAGACAAAATAATGTATTTTAATCATAAAATTCCTGTTAACAAATAGTTTACAAACATGTAACCTTTTAGAAAATTTCCATTTTGCAAAAGATCATACGTAAAATTATGTTTACGTTTCTTCACATACCTGAAGTTTTGAAAAGGCCATTTCTTTCTGCGTTTAAAATATCCATTAACGTTCCCCATTTCTTTTTTCCCATACTCTTTACTAAATCCAGCAGCGTATTTTTTCGAAAAATTTCACCATTTACTCGAACTCGATTTTTTTTTTCTACCGCCATCCTCAGTAATAAGCACGTGCGAAACAGCCCCTTTGACAACAAACTTCCCCTTCCCTGAGCTGGCAAGTAGGTTAAGGCTACTATAAAGGGTCCTAAATTAATGGATATCATGGAGGGAAAGCTCTTGTCAAAAAATACATTTTGAGATGAATAACATTATGCGTGTATTTAAAAGAAAAATTGAAAATTCAATAAAGGAATTCAAAAAGAAAGTATTTTAACTAAAAAATACAAATTTGAAATATGATATGTGAAAATGTTTTAGAAACTTTTAAAATAACTTGAATCATACGAGAAATTTGGCAATTAAAAAAAAATACGAGAAAGAATCTGAACTGCAGACAAAAGAAGGGGAAAAAGCCACACATTTTTATATGGATGCAGAAGAAAGCTGAAATTCGGATTCTCTAGAATGTTAAATTTTAGCGGACAGCGCTAAAGAGCCAAAGTTGCCGCTCCACACCTAAATTGCAACCCTAAAGCTTAGATTCAAAATGGCTGACGAGTCAGCCTGTATCTCTAGTAGCTCTAGTAGAGGTGACTGGTTGCTATGCAATAAACGTCACTTCCGCACGGAATTTCCATTTCACTTTCCGCCGGCGGAATTTGAAGGGGGCCAGACCGTCACCATCGAGATAAATAAGGCCTGCGCCCTGAGTTACTACGTCACTGCTAGGGGACCGGTCTTCGCGCAGTTTAGCTTCCTTGCTAAACACCCTTTTTTCTAAACCTATTCTATGAAATTGCTTTCTCATACTATAAAATCAGTCTAAAACAAAATTACAAGTGGCAATATAATGTTTTACAAAGCTTATACGAATATAAAATATTTTCATATTCTTTTGTTGGTATTTATTTTCAAAACAAAATTATTTGAGAATGGTGTGGTGCTTTTAAAAGCAAATCATTTCTTTGAAGAAAAATTCTTTTTAAAATTCAAGTAGCTAAAATTTTTACTTTGATTTTTCTGCACTGTTTTTGTGTCTCTCGTTGATTCTCATCACCGCATCAAATTTTTTTGTTTCACCCACTACTTTAACAAAATGTTTGCCAGTGGGAACACATGTTATCTCTCATTCTATAATTATTGCATATTTTTTATATTTATCATATTAATGTAGCAGGATTATAAAAACATCAAACGAATGCAAGAGACTACTTAATATTTAGACTAACATTTAAATCCTTATATCAGTTAGAAAATTTTTCTGAATGTAATAAATTACTAAATAGTCTAGTCTTAAAATTATTTCTTACTTACATATTGTATGTTAATCTGTATTACAGTTAATGTTTTCCTCTTAATGCTACATAATTATTCGACAGAATCTGTAGTTAAATTGAGATAATGTTTATTACATAGCTCTGAAGACTGTCATATTAAAATTCCAAATAAGACAGGAAAAAAGTTTTTTAAATAAAGTTATACACAATTTGTTTGAAAATTTTTTAAAATATACGATATACTTAAAAAACTTTTAGAAACTGAAATTTCTTGCAAATATTTACATCATACCTATTTAACTATAAGCGTTACCTCTGTTCTGAAATATTTTTTCTATTAATATCCACATGAAAAGAAAATATAAATCCTAACATTATGTTCAAAACTTTTCTGTATAATGTAAGCAATTTTTTTAACTTAACTTACATAGCTTTTGGTGGTGCCACGTACTCAAATTAAAGATTGTAATTTAAAAGATAATTAAAAAAATTGTTTTTAAAATTGCATTGAATTGAAATACAATGAAAACAAGTATATCTACATATGAATTCAATTACTACTGCTTCTTCAATAACTGTACATTTTTAAAATTTCATTTTGCAGTTTCGCAATTTAATTACATTAATATGTATCTTGCATACATTACTTTAGAAACTTTTCTGTCATTCTCAGAAAGATTTATGTTGCATAAAAATTTTTAAACAAACTGATTGCATGATAATAACATATATAAAAGTGAACAGAAGCTATATTAGCTAAACATATGCATTTAAGTTCATCATGATAAAATGATATTTAATGATTTGCAAAAAAACATTGATATTTAAATTTAAGAACACAGTACTCTGTCAAGAATCAATTACTCTGCATTTGATATTCTACATATTATGTAATGAAAATAAGTGTTATGCTTTTAACCCCTTAGGACAGTTATTTCATATAAAATTAGTTTCCAATTAAAATAAATAATCATAAATTTGCTGACAATTTTTTATTATTAGTGTTAGTGTTAGTATTATTACAAGGGATGATGCTTCAGATGTCAAAAGTAACATAAATTCAATTCTTAAAACATAATGAATAAAAAATTACAACTTATAAAAGCCAACAAAAAGTTTGCTGAGGGTCCCTTAACCGTGACGTCACAAGCCAGTTTCGTTTCAGAGCGCAGGCCTTATCTATCTCGATGGTGACGGCCAGACTCGCTCTCCCTTCTGCTGTCGAGTGGAAAGAGAATCCCCACTGGTTTTCCGATATCGATCTCGACCGGTGTCCAGACTAGACCCCTAAGCCTTTTACTTCAGCTTCAGTAATTCGGAATTTTTGACGGAATTGTTGTCGGAACTAGGACTGTATTTAGTAAATGGTAGATATCTAGTTGGTCTTGGTTTAAAGCGCTTGATTTTATTCAACAATTTCAAACGGAGGTCTCCAAAAATTTCTCACAACATAACGGCAAGTTTTTTTTTGGAGAAAATATATAACAAACTAGCTCTTGAACCGTACACCTCTATCAAGTGGGATAAGAAATATTAGTATTATTTAATATTATAATATATTAGAAATATATTATAATATTCTAATATTATAATAATATATATAATAATAAATAATTCTAATATTCTAATAATATAATAATATATAATTAATTCTTTTATTATACCGTTTTAATAAAAGCAATATAGAGTATATTGCTTTTATTAAAACGGTATAAAATTAACGTTTTTATTAAAACGACGGGACGGGTGGGAAATATATTTCGATTAACAATGCAAATGGTTTTAGTCAGGATACGAACAACTCAACGTATCCTAAGATATGTCTACTATGCTTTTTCTTTACAGTGTCTTGTTTGCATATTGGTTGTTTATTAACAGCCGTGTGCTCGAGTAATCAGTTGTATTTATGTAATGTTTAGGTATTGTAAAATAGAGGACACTGAACATTGTTTTTACTGTAAAAGACACCTTGAACAATTATGATTCTAAAATAATGATGATCGACAGAAATGTGTTAGTGATAGTTTGCCTATATTTATTTAGGTACTTAATATTTTTCATGAATTTATAAAGCCTCTCAGGTTGATTGCACTGAATCTTATTACTCTATGAATTTATGTTTACTTGTCAAAATTTCTGTGAAGGTTTGAATATCGGCAAATTATTTTCTTATGTGATATTTTCAACTTATACTGGGTACTATTTTCTATACTATTTTAATTATAACGAATGCGAAATTTCTGTTTCTACTTATTATGCATATTTGTATTTGTAAGTATCATTTATTTTTTTGTGATTTATGAGTGTATCGTTTTATTTCTGTTGAGAACATATAAATTCTGTATTTAGGGTATTCACTTTGAATATGACTCCATTGAAAATCAGAGCTCTGTTAAACTTAGTGAAAAAACTGTAACAGTACATCTGATTTTTATGAGCTATAAAAAACGTTCGTCAGTAAGAGTGACTTTTTTTTTAGACCTGTTTTCCGAAAGCGCATAATACCGAAATTTTAAAAGCACGAATACATATGGACGAGTGTATTTTATCTCGTGATTTCAAACAGCTTTGCTTAGTCTAAAAATACTTTTGAAATGTACAGTAATGAGGTGTTTAATTATATGAAAATTTGTAAACTAAAAGTATAAGCAAGTAATAATGAAATGGTAATTATGTGGAAATTTGTAAATTAAAGGCACAAGGATGTGATATAGGAAGGATTTGCCATGAATGATCTGTGATAAGCAAGAAAATTCTGTCTATGATAACAGGAATCAATTTTTTCATGCCATATTTTATTGACAACATACCATTGCAAATTTTTTAATCTGCATGACAGAAACAGTAAATGAATTCTCATTTGCCCTTATATATTGTACAAACATGAAACACAATATGTATCATATCTTAAGCATTTTAGAGTCATGAGTAGCATATCTATGAAGACATGAATTGTACATCTTAGGACTAAACATTATTTGAGGCACTCTAACTTGATCTTAAAGTATAGTTGGACATTGTGTCTATCATTTGTTACTGTGAAGTCAGTGGCTTTAACAATATGTAATTTAGAATATTAAGCAACCAGCAGCCTATGGATACCTTGTGTGATATGAGTTCCTTATACTGAGTTCTCTTTCACTGTATTTAATAGATATAGTTTGAAAACTCAAACTATAAATGAAGCACAATACAATCAGAAAGAGTATTCAATATCTTTTAAGCAATTTTTAATATGAAGAGTCATTTTTGATTCTCCTGCCACACATTTTCCTTACTTAATCATGTAGCTGTTTTGGCAAGCCAAAATAACGAGTCAAAGAATTGCACAAAATCGGTATCCATGTGCCGCCAAAAATTGCCAAGGGGTACCCTAAACTGTACTTTTACCCTGAAAAGTATTGAATTCACATCTGTTGGATCAGCAGTAGAGTTTTGATCAATCTGAAAAATATTTACTAGTGTGTGTGTGAGGGGGGGGGTTCTATCTGTGGTCACACAGTTATTTGAATCTTCATTCTTTGTTTACATATTCAATTTATTTTTCATTTCATTTGTCTTAGTTCTGCTGTCATTCTTCCCTTTGTATTAAGCCTATACTATGACAGCTTCATGGCTAGAGAAAGCTCATATTTACAATGATAGTGACTCAGAACTTAAAAGTAGAACTGTTACTACTTCTAAGTTCAGAAAATTGACAGGTTGCATATTAGGAGAGAAATCTTACTCATTAAATTGCAAATAAAAGGAAAAAAAAATATATTTTTGTGCTGTGCAGACATTTTCTCATCACACTCTTGTCTTTTGAAGATTAGACAATGTCAGAATCCTTTTCTTTTATACTAATGGATCGTACATTTTAAGTTACCTTGTTAGAATATTATATGTAATGTACTATACACATATTATGTTTCCTTTATACTTTTTTAATATTTGTAGTGTTTTACTGCGCATAATTTATTAATTATGGTAAATTAAGTAGGACATTTTCCAGAAAGGACTAAAAAGTCCATTAAATTTTTTTTTTTTTTTGCTTTGTAAGAAAAATCGGCATTTTTTAATTTTTAGGAAATATCTCATTCCATCAGAATTGCTTCATATAATTAATAACGTTTAGCAAAATAATTTTTTTACTCTATCCCAGAAATATATCTACAGATTATGGTGGATAATATATTTGAGTTCTAGTATAATTGTTTCTGATTACTTTGTGTAGTAGGTGTCTTTAAGGGCTATGGAAAGAATGCTAGAAACTAGAAGCAGCACTTGCATGGCTGCTGAAGGGAACATATTTACTAATAACAGGTTTACTTATTTGAAAATAAATATTTTTGTGTTAAAATGCAAATTAATCAAATAATCCCCCTTCCAAAAAAGTCAGTAATAATGTTTTAGAATTCTCATTCTTTAAATTGTGTAGTATTTTATTGAGTGTTTTTAATGTAATGAATAAATTTATTAATTTTTTATTCTTATTATGAACTGAATTTAGTTTCAAAATTTCAGTCACAAATGTGAAAGCAGGTCTCGTAGCAAGTTTAAAAAACACATGTATATAGAGCTGTTATTACTAAAGAAAATCATTGCAATTTTGTGTAAAAATTACATAAATTATGCTCTGCAATCCTTTAACATGCGTACATTTCATTTTCAGTATATAGGATGTAATGAAAATGGCTGATGATTATTCTGGAGTTACCAGGCTTGAGATAGATTTGCAGTCGACTGATGCTCATCCCAATGATGATGAAAAAATATCAGTTTCATACAATCATCAGTTAGCATCTGCTTTAAATCATACAACCACTGCAGAAGCTGTTGACAATACAAATGTGCCTGAATGTTCCATATCAAGCCAGCAGGGTGCCTCTCAGAAAATATCATTGGCTGAGTTTTCCACTTCTGTCATTTCTCCATCTGATGTTTCTCCAAAATCATGTGAGCTAACAGCATTCAATTTCAGAATGGGTAACTCTTCAGTGACGAAAAGGACACGAGGTCGACCAAGAAAAGATGGTCCACGAGTAGCCAAGCATCACCTAGCACCCAAACATCACCTTACACAATCTGTTGCTGCTAAAGTGTAAGTTTTTGGTGATTGTATTGTGCATGATTTAATTTTATTATTATATTTCTAACTTTATAAATAAAAAATTGGGTACTTGCATAGTATCCATCCACTGTGAAAGGTGGCTGTCATTGAATCGTAAAAGTTGTTAGAAATCTAAGCTTAATTTGTGCCAGTTGCGCCTGTGTGAATTTTGTAGAAACTAATGCCTCTTGTTGATTTCTGCTATTTTATTAAGCTTTTCAGTTTTATTGGAAAGTTTCTTTAGAATGCTCTTATTTGTAAATTTCAGGCAGTAATTTTTCCAATCTGTTACTGTTCCATATTCAGTTGATCAGATTATAAATTCATACATATGCAATTTGATGGTAGGATCCGATATCTTTGAAAATAATTCACTGCTTGCTGTTCGTAGAAAGCAAGTCTCAAATTTTAATAATTTTTTTTTTCAAACAGCAAGGAAAACATATGGTAATAACAGTTAATTTATATCACTGTTCATAAAAGCAAAAGGTGGCTTATTGAGAATCAATCAGGATTAAATCAAACGAAAGTGCTGATGTTATGAGTGTGTTGCTACTTCACACTTATCAGTGAATAATGCTAAATTGCTCTGTTGGGCAACAGTTTTACTGTTGATGTGCAATATATAAGTACCAAAAATCATTTTCAGGAAAATATCTGGGATTTTTGAAAAAGGTGGTTTGAGTTCATTTCATTAAATACAGTTTTCTAATTTCAGATTACTTTATTTCTAAATTTTCAACACATGAAGACAAGTATGGTAGAAGACAATATCTGTTGATGCAAAATTCACCAAATACTTAAAATACATGCAATTGCTCAGATGCCTTTAGTGAAATTCTTAGTTAGTAAGATTCTAAAACTGCAGTTTTGAATTAAAAACTGAAAGTTGTGATGTCATTCAAAAGGAAAACATTAAACATGGTAGATATTTTTTATTTTCATTAGAATTGAGAGAGGGAAAAATATTCTGAAGTGAAGAGGCTGAATTAAAATAATAGTGTTATGTGACCTTGAATCAGTGATTATTGATGGATATTTGGATATTAACAGTTATAAGTTTTTATATTATATATTGAAGCAAGGTAGTATGTTCTATTGATTATCACTTTTGTAACTTATATTAAAATAATTGGGAAATTTCAAACGGGAAACATTAATCGTAGTAGATATTTTTTGATACTCTTTAGAATTTAGGGGGAAAAAATATTATGCTAAAGTGAAGAAGGTTGAATCAAAACAATAATGTTATGTGACTCTGAATCGGTGATTATTGGTGGATGTTTGGATATTATTGGTTACAAGTTTTAACGGTATTTTTCCGTTTTGCTGGCGCAAACGATAAAGTCGCCAATAATGGTACAACTGATGCCATATGGAATATCTTCGCTGGTAACCCTTTACGCCTCATTTTCAAAACAAGTCGCAACCATTTCTTATCAGATTGATTGTTTCTTTCAGTACTGGCATACAAATGCATATAATTTTTACAAGATAGTTAAATTTTATGCCCTAAGATGATTCATAGTAATTAAGTCAATTAGGATGCAATCACACCGCTCAGCCGAAAGCGAAAATATAGGAAAGGCAAAATCGGGTTATATTCATCAATTCTAATGAGAATGCACTAGCGAAGTAAAGCACTACGGTTTTACATAATTTCTGAGTGAGCTATTCGTACAAATTGAAATAATTCTTGCATTTAAATGTGTATTCCAAATTAAAATTTAACTTGAATTTAATGTAGTTAATTACTGAGAGAATTAGATTTTTGTAGCGTTTTTTACATGAGATGAGATCACTTGGGGTCATGTGATACGAACCGGCGAATCAGGATGTTGAACCATGAAAGTATAGTAAATTCTTAAATTAACATCTTTTTATAAATTTATTGTCGTTATGTATTGGCATTTTGCAAAATTTTAAACCATATTAAATTGTTTATGCCTTCAAAATAAAACATTCTTAGAACTAACATTTGTTAACATTTTTAATGTGTATACTGTATGTTGTCGCCAACAAAGTCTGCTTGGCAAGATTTGTGCCGACGAAACGGAAAAGTACCATTTTAACATTATATATTGAAGCAAGGTAATATGTTCTATTGATTATCACTTCTGTAACTTATATTAAAATAATTAGGAAATTTTGGTAAGCTTATCTCGAACTGAAGATTGCCATGTTCTTTTAATGAATAAAATTGTACAGTAAATGCTGGACTAGCCAAAGAGCTCAGAAAATACTAATACTTAGGGAATACCTATTGAATGTATAAAAAACTTGCAGTAGGAAGCCAAATTTGTTCATTATCAAAAGCCTACATTTAAAACCGTGCAAGATATTTTTTGGGAAATGCGTTTGAGGCATAAAAGCCAATGTATTTCGTAGACCTTAAGTGTACGAAAGTAAACCACGTTATGTATTACAAAATCCCATCAACCATGATAGTTAACATAGGCCTGATTTTGAATCAGTTCCATTAAATGCACTTGTGCTAACTTTTGTTGAATTTCTTAAAGTAAGGAAAGAAATTTATGAAAAGATTGTCACAACACTTTGAAGGAACTTTAAATAATAACGATGACGATAAATGAATAAAATAATAATAATAAAAAAATATTGAATTGCTATAGACCACAAATTTGCACTTGATAAAATATACATTACTAGTGGCCATGGTTAAAAAACTTAGAGGCTGTAGAATGCGTTTAGTTTTTTTTTTTTTTTTTTTTTATTTTGATATTAATCATCATGTAAATGCATTTAGGTTTAGTCATTCTTAGGCATTTAGCTGTTAGAGTGACAAATTTGTCAAATTTCCAAGATTTAACATTTTACTTTCTTAATTGTTGTTTGCCCTTGAATCCTATAAGCAGTCTTGGCACTTTTGTCATTAGAAATATGTCATCTAGAATCAGTTAACCTGTTAATGGATAAGTATGATGATGCTAATGATCATTTGTCAGTCAGTAGATAAATGTCTTTGCCTATAAAAAGAAACTTTGAACGGCTTTCATTGAAAAAAAAAAAAATTTTTTTTTTTTTGATGTTACAAATCACAGTGAAGAAGCTTTTAATAAAATATCTTGTTTTTACCGAATGAGTTTCAGTCATAATAAGAAATAATGCTTAAAATGTAATTTCTTTTGTGCTTATTTAAACACCATTTAAACACAAATTTGAAGACGTGATATATTTCTTTACCAAAAATACATAAACTGAAAAAATAATCACAAACATGATACACAATTTCTGATATTTATATAATCAACATTAATTATGAAAAATATTTAAAAAAAAACGTTAAGATTTATGCTTGTGACAGAATAAATAAAAAAATAATGCATGACTTTTCATTTTTAACCACCTATTATTGTTGTTGAACAATCATTAGCCTGCGAGCACGCGCACTGGGTATCTGATACTCGGGGGCATATTCTATGTCCCTTATCTCAAAACCCCTTTCCTGGAAATGGACAAAACCTTTTGTAGCTGAATTCAAGGTCACACATTCATGAAGCTGGGAAATCCGTGGAGTGATTCTTCGAATGTTCTTCCAGGAATTGTACCGTTTGGGTATGTGACACCCGCGCGCCGTCTTGCATCTCTCAGATTTTCACCCTCACTTTCTTAGTTAGTTAGCATGGCGCGACATCTAAATTATGATAAAGAAATTGAAAAGGTTCAGAAATATGCTAGAAACCATTTCAGCAGATGATGAAATGTTTAGAGAAGAGGAGGAAGAATTAATTGATGAAGAACACAACAGCATTTATAATTCATCAATAGACAGTGATATAGACACTGAATTAGATAGTGAATTAGAAAATCAATGAAATGATGAAAATTATGTTGGTAAAAATGGCTCGGTATGGAAGAAAAACAAAATCCGAATGAATGTTGAGACTAGTCTAAAAGCATTATGTTTAAAATTCTAGGAAATACTAGTTATTCGAAAGTGGAAGATTACTCAAATCAACTGCGGCAGCAATCCATGCTATCTTTGAAACTAAGAGAAAAAATAATATGTTAAGTACTTCATTTATTATATCCTTTAAAATATTCTAAAGTTCATTGTTTTTTATGTTAATCCACATTTATACTCATATTTTTATTATTAATGTAATTTAAAACGTGTTAATTGCTTTCGGGTATGACATACCCAGCGCACCTTCTCGTGTTCGTAATTTTGAAGCGCGTGCCTCGCGGGTTAAGCATACTTGTGATTTTAAATTGATTTAGTACAGTTAATTAATTTCTTTTGAGAAAAATAGGATTGTACATTTGGCAGCAGTGAATTTAAAAAAATGCATCATAAGACAATGCATTGTATTTTGTGTATAAGAATTAATGCTCTAGTAAATGAAATACATGCAAATTTTGCAAAGATTTTGCATTTTGAAAATTTTTATACCATGCATGGAGTTTTATTAAATTTAGAACTATTAATTGCCAAAATTCATAATTTTTATTTTGCTGGTGCTTTCTGATGATTGACAATTTTTAAATTTCTGTTAGTACTGAAAAATGATGACTGGTATTGAAAAATGATTCAAATCAATAAATTTTTTCTCAAATTTTGCATTTAAAAGAGTGGAATATTTTGTATTTAACTAAAGTAAAATGGGGTTAAAAATAGGTATTTTAAGAACTGAAATTTGTGGTCTCTGTAAAATATTATTTTTTATATTTATTCAGTACTCCCATTTCTCTGATTTGTGAGAAACTGAAATTAGAAATATATGTTTAGAGCCATTACTTAGAAAATAAATATAGTAACCACCTTTTATAAAAAGTCTTGATATTTAAAATTAGGCAGTTTCTATAAAAGGTCCTCCATTAAAGGCATTCTTCTCCACTGAGAAAAACCTGGTGGGTGTTTGTATTGAACTATAAGTGATAAAAACAGACATATATTAATAGTTGTCAGAATTGAACTTTTTTGTAATAACTGCAATTCGAAAGGAAGACTGAACCTGTTTTCAAAATCATGCAATTCTTCAAGAGTTGTTTCTGTTGTCATTGTGTTTATAATTTTTTGTCCTTGTTAAACCAGATGAATGGGATTATTAAAATCTTTGGTAAAAATAGACAAATTTTTTAATGCATTAGATTTCATCTACCTGATTTATATAAATGAAATACTTTATCTATATAAATATTTCTTTTCTTCATAAGTGAACGGTTCACTGTTTCTCTCTTTTTTCAGATATTTCAGACGACCTCGGTAAGAGTTTCTAATCTATATTTTTATTATAAATTAGGAAATGTAAACTCTGCCAGATAATACTGTCAGAACTATAGATCCCTTTCAAATTGTAACAGTAAATAAAAGATAAATGCAGTAAGATTTAAAATGGGAATATTGTTACAGGTTAAATGTAAAATTATTGTACTTTATTGTATGCATTCTATGTAAAATTATAGTTAATGTGGAAAATTATAGTATTTTTCGGGGAAAAAAGGAGTTAGTTGTTTCTATTTATAGATAGAATCAGTTGAAAATTCAAATTCTATCGATAAAAAATTCAAAATCTTTACAATAAATGTAGCATAAAGATTACCCATTGATTGTTATTTACCTTATGGATTTTCCATCTTTATAATTACTTTTCTGTTACTCTATAATATTTTGATTATAGAAAAATTCTAATGCTGATGATTATGTTTAAAATTTATTTATGTGTATATTTTTACATTTATATCATGCCAGGGAGTTCTATTATATATATTTTATGAGGTAGAAATAACTATGTCATTTTCTTTTAAATTTATGTTTCATAAAATTATTCAATTTTAATCCGAAACCCCTGATAATATTCTTCCTTCCTTATTGCTTTTGTGGAATTGATATTTTATTGCTATTTTGCAAGAAATAAAAATAAAATTTAAGAGGGTAATGCAGTAATATGAACATTGTGTGAAAATATCTGTGAAAAGATTTTTTTCAGTCTTGCGTGTTTAATTAAAAATATAAAAAGAATTATGTGTGGAAGTTGAGCTTATTCTTCTCTTATCCATTTAATGACATAGGCTGCTTTGTATCTCATATTAGTTTTACTTTTGTTATATTTAGAATTTTTCATAAAACATATTTTCAAAAAAAGAATATTTCATAAAATTTAATACTTTTTTTTTTTGCCAAATTTTTTTATTCAATTTTCATTTCAGGATGAGAGGACGTGGAAGGCCTAGAAGAGATGACATTTTACATCATAAAATGTATGAATGTGGGCAGAATACAGCCCTTTATCCATAAATAAATATTTTGATTTATAATTACATTAGCTTTCCTGCTCTGTTTATTTTATTTTTTTTTAGTTGTGTACCCTCATTTTATTTTTCCCAGAATTTTTCTATTTTCCATTTTAATATGGGGAATGGTCTTTTACCTTAAAGATTCAGTTTTATGAATATTTAAAAATTTTTTAATTATAAATTTGCATGTTGTATTAACTTCCTTTTGCTGAACTTCCACACTCTCAATACTCTTATCCTTAAAAGTTTTTTTTTTATTTATTTAACTACTGAAAATTCTTTGTCATATGTATGTGGTTAATATTGTGTTAATGCAGTAATAACTTTGTTGAAACAAAAGATAAGTTACTGTATTTGAAATGGTAGTTTAACTCTCTGAGCTGCATGACTAGCTTTATCCGGTCATAAAATTTTTTGTTACTTGATACATAGTATTAGCTTATAACTTAAGATATTTTGCTTTCTTTAATAACATAACTGTAATAACTGTAATCTAAGTTTGTGAAAATAGAGGCTAAAACAAGCAATTATATAAATTTAGCTAATATATGCTGCATAAATACAGGTCTTCATGACACATCTAAAAACTCATGCCGCTTAGAGGGTTAAGTTCTGTCAGGAAGGTCAGGTTGTTGTCCAGTGACTTATACATTTTTTGAAGCAAATTGAATTTGTATTACCACCAAAGGTACTTACGGAAAATCCCGTCGACCACAAGAAACGGCGGCCATCGTGTGTGTGTGTGGGGGAATACTAAATACAATAAAAATGTTCTTTTCTTATTTTTCTTTCAAATTTATTATATTATCATTTATTTATATTTAATTTTTCATTATAAATTTCCATAATTTTTTATTAAGGAGACATACTGTAAAAGCAATTATTTTCGCTAGGTGCCATTTCGTGGCCATTAACACATTTTTTTGAGACCATAACTCTGGAAATATTTAACAGCATGCTCTTCTGTAGTAGGCAAGTCCCAAATTTTGATCATATTTATTTATTTATTTATTTTTTTTGAAAATGCGTTATAGAGGGGAAAAAAGGAGTCTTTACTCAAGAATAATAACTAACACGTGTAATCAAAGTTACTCCAAACCCAGCATGTTTGAAGAAGACTTTTTCATTTTTGGCGAAAAAACACGTAGTTTGGCGTCTTTTCTTTAATAGGCAAAAATGGGAGACGGGATTTTCCGTAAGTACCCCACTAAATAATTTTTTAATGTAACTTTTCGCACATGCTGAAGAAACGTGCTGTTTATTTAAAATTTTGGTCTCTGTATTTATTAGTATGCAATAATGCCAAAATATATTTTTATAAAATGAGAAAGGTGAATATGATTGATTAATTAATAAATTTTTGTGGAAAATGTGCGAGGACTGTGTGCTTGAGAGATTTGCATGTGTGGAGGACTTTTGATAGAAACTGGCTTTTATTTAAATTGTGCATGGAAAAAACCATAGATGCTCCCATGCAGCCAGCCCATTTTGCCAGAAATCAAACCTTTGACAAAACTTAGCATTTCAAGGCTTCATTCTCATGGCCACAGGTCAAACAATTAACTCTTTCTGACTAATTATAACATTGCTGAATTAATTTAATGTTTTCAGAAGAAAAGCGTAATAAGTAAGTAATGGAGTTTGGAGTTGCAGATTTAGCTGTTTAAGCTTAATTTTTGAAAAAGTGAGTCAGTTAATTTTCACGTTCTCAGTTCTTAAATAAGTAAATTATTTTAACAAATTTTTATGCTTGATTCTTTACCAATTTTAAAAATTATTATTAACAATCTATTATTTTTTATAGATTTCCCGGTCGCCCTCGGTTTAGAGGAAAAAAATTTCAACACTATTTTATGTCTCATACTCCTCACAAACTTCCAGAAATTCGAAGTAATTTAGACATCTATGAAGATATTGATTCAGATTTAAAATCTTGTGAGTACTTTTTTTAATTGTTAATCATTTTATTGTTATCAAGTAAATGTCACTTGAATTCAGAGTCTGCAAATAAACAAAAGTGATCTTTGGAATTCATTGAAATGGTGGTTTTATTTTTTCAGAGATCTTTAAGTGTGTACTATCAACTGAATAAGCTATAAACTGTGGAAGTAAACATGTAATATATATTTTTTAGTATTAAGTTTTCAAATTAAATACAGGTGTGAAATGCTGTCATGCAATAGTTTGTACTAGAAGCCACTCATATGTGATGAAAAAATTATGCAATGATAATTTTTGCATTAATTCCTGGAACTTTTGATGTGACCTCTGCTAAAAATCTATGCTTGCATATAAATTGAAGTGATTAAGCAGATGATTAAAATTATTAACTCTTTGAAGTAATTTCTCTTAAGGTTAAAAGGAGAAGACTTCAAAAAATTTATTATTGCGCTATGTAATTATTTAGCATACAAAATATCTTTTACAATAATGCTGCAAATGCCTATAATTATGAATAGGATAAGGTATAAATTTAATGTAATTTAAATTATATCAATTAAAAATGAAATCAATTAAAAATTTGAAAATAAAAATGTAAATGCTTCTTTATCTAGAATGTCTTTTGTACATATCACAAATTACAAATGTTCCTAAAATCATCAATTGTTTATATAATTATGAAAAAATTAAATACATTTAAAATGCTCTGATTAGATATACTATTAATAAAATAAATGTTTTAATTATTTAGAAATGCATATATTACTTTTAAAATACTCAGTTTGTTAAGAATTACTGAGTGATTCAATTCAGAAGGGAATATAAAGGTTGTATGTTTTTCCTGATGGCAGCAAGCACCCTAAGAATTGACTATTCATGAAGCTGCGTGGAAGACAAATACAAAATCTTATGTTCTGCATAATGATGAGTCTTATGAAATTTTGTGGATGATAAATGCATTGTAGCATAAGCAAATGGTGAAATAAAAATTGGAAAGGCTGAAGATATTTCCAGTGTCAGAAACAAAAGAAATAGAAGACATTTTTAAATTATTTCATAGCAAGGTTAAAATCTTTTAAATCCTTTTAAATCATTTAGTTTGCTAAGCATTTTAAATTTGAAAGGCAAACTAATGATTTAATTTCACATTGAATGGTAATACTAAGGATAATAAACCGAAAATCTTGTGTCTTATGCAATGGCTATATTTGTCTTTTAGCAAGGATAACAAAAAACATGATGACATAACATCATGTAATACTGCACAACATAACAGTTCCAAAATGATTTTGAAAGGACTTGTCTAAAGATGTTTCTGATATTAAAAATCACTGATAAAAATTAAAGTATTTTTATTCTAAAATAATGTTATTTATTTAACTTGTCAAACTGCATCTCAGATAAAAGTGAGTTAATTCGGAGAATTTTTAAAGTAAACACTGTAATTCATTTAAAACTAAAACTTAAAGCAGATTATCATTCAGTTGTGCTAATTCAGTATATACATTTAAATACTGTGTTAAGTAACTTTTTGGCAAATCTGATAGATTTCCTCTGGCATGCTTCATTCATGCATGTTTGTATAATTTCTTCAGAACTTGGCTATAAATAGTTCAAGTTTTCTGAACTGAGTCAAGTTTTTATGTTCTTTTATTGGAGGACTTGCTTTTAAAAATGCTCTGAAACATTTTAGTACCTCTAACTTGTTTATATTAAAAGTCATTACTCAGTTCTGACTTAAAATCAATTTTCTGATTGTAATGTAGTTGACAATATCTTTAGCTTGAGGGCTATAAGCCGGGTTCGACCAAAACAGAATATTTTCATTTTGATGACATTGTTTGATAAAAGGAATCAAATCTTTTTTAATGCAGTGATTTAAATAAATAGATTATTTGCATTTTTTTTTCTTTGAAAAAGACTGGTTTAGAAACCAGAGCTGTGGAGTTGGTAGGAAAAATGACAGACTCCGATGTAATCTGAACTTGTTGGGACTTCAGCGATTCCGGATTAGGGGTTTTTCCAGATTATAGATCATCAATTTAAATCTGGTAAGATGACATACAGAAATCATACAATTAAAAATATGAAATGTAATTTATGAAATAAAGAGCAATTATGATCTAAAGGATATCAAAATTTACACACACACATACGCACGCACACATGCTATTAATTTGTTTACTTTATTAAACATTTCTTTTAATGTAAGTTGTTTAAGTTGCTTTGTTTTTTGTGCTTATACTTTCTCTTTAATTCTATAAAGAGACATAATTTCTTGTTCAGTTATAAAGTTCTACTGTTCAAGTCCTGTAATTGCTGTGTTGAGAATACTGACTAACTTGTCAATCAAAATACCTCTCTGTTACTTTCTTCACTATTGGAAGTGCACATAGGTAAACACTTTACGTGCATGCATAGCAGACGTGTGCATTAAAAGCGCATGCATAAGTTTGTAATTTTGAGGTCCGGATTATAGATCATTCCGGATAATGGACGTCCAGATTATGGACTTTGTACTGCATAGATATTTATACATGTGAACATATACACATAGGTTACAGCTTATTTGTTTAATATAAAAGAAGTAATAGATACTACAGAAAAAAATTAATGGCATAGCAAATTATTTATATTAATTAGCATTTATTATGAAATTTCATTTCATATGAATTTCTTTTGAAATTCTGCCCATTTCATATGAAATCAGTTGCTTGTAAATTATAAAACAGTCAGGCCAAAACTTCTAGGTCTTTTTATTTTATACCTGTCAGATGTTATACAAAGCCTTTGATGCACTTTGAACATATTTTTCTAACATTTCCTTGCACCAATCAACATGCCTTCTTTTGAGCCTTTGTCAGATTATGTGGGATCCAATGCAAAACAGGTCGCTTTTACGGCCAAATGTTTATGTAATATGTTAAGAGGTTATCACACTTAGCTGCAGTCTCTGCTAGATGGAACTTTTCTGAGAAATGAGATTCTGGTAGCATTGGTTTAAGCGGGACTGTTCCTAGAAAAAAGAGCTCTGCCTAGCTATGGAAATTATGTTGCGGCTACGCGGGATTTTATCAAACCTCGCAGAATGTCTCGGGTCCTGGGTAGAATCAACCAATCAGACGAAAGTTCTGCTTCTGAAGGATCACGGGTAACTTCCAATATGGCGATGGCTGGAACAGCACAATCGTGGACGGTAGAAATAGAAGCCAATTTAATTGACGAAATTAAAAAAAACCACATAAATGTGTAATCGTTGATGCTTCAGAGTAGACAGTATTTTATGACATTTTTATTTTCAATACTTTCGATGACTTGTTTACAAATTATTCGTTGCCAAAAGTTCTCCAAATTCTCACATTTCTGCTGAGCTATCTGATACTGTGTAGAAATGTTAGCTTTACTATTGAATTTTATTTTATTAAATTTAAGATGAATAATTTTTGAAAATCTCTTTATATATGCACGACTTCACTTTTCTGCTAATTATCTTCTAAACTGTTTATTGCATAATAAGCAACACGTAAACAACATCAAAGATGCATGAAAAAGGAAAGCATTACTTTTGTAATTGATGACAATACTCATTAAATTTCTGTACTATTATTTGTATGTTATTAATAAAATACTTTTTAGATTATAAATACATAAGAAACTGTATTTTTATTGTGAATTCTACATATTGATGCATTTCAATTGTGTATTAATGCATGATTAAAAACATTTGTATATACATTCTTTAATGTAATTCTCCTTCGTTGTATTAATAGACATACATGAACAACTACAAATTATCATATCTTTATGCATATGTAAATATATGACTTATTAGATGTGTATTTATATGCTTATATGAACATGAAAATTGGCAAAATGTTTATTTGAAGTCACTTCTAATTCATACACTCGATGATCATGTAATTGACAGCAGTTGTACTGATTAGTTCTTTGCACATTATGCTGCTTATATTATACACAGTTAAAAAATAACTGATGAGCATCGATACTAAAGAGTGTACATTTTTTGTTTTTGGAGTAACGCATTATTATATCATATGTATGGTTTACATAGAATACACATGACTTATGAATAACAAGAAATTTAACAGCTATGCTTAATTTAACAGTATGTATAATATTTGGTCACTTTAACATACAGTGCACAGCTCATTATTGCTTTGGCACATGTATCTACTTAAGGAATTTCCTGGTACTTTCTCATTAGCCACCCTTCCTGATTTCAAAAGGCAGTAAAATTAACGTTTCTTCTCTTTAGCTTTTAGAATCACCAGTGTCAAAATCAAAGTGATCAACTTAATAGCCACCACCTTTCTACTATATTAAACAATATAATGCAAGTTTAAAATTTTAAAAAGAAATTACTGAAATGCTTCCGTAACAACGATACAGCATGGAATTTGAAAATAAATGTCTCTTTCGCCAATCTGAGTGATAATCGATTAGTTTGGCATTCAGGGTCTATTTAAGTAAGTGAAAATGTTAACCTAGTTACATAGGTTTTTCCGGGAATGCAGGTTCCAAGAAATGTCCTGTTTGACGTTCAGTCCTGCCTATCCAAAACGTAATGTGATACGGACATTACTGATACTTTCATACTAATGCTCAAAGATACCTCAGTCTCACAGTATGCCATATGACGATCTTGCTTTGTCAGTTCACGCACGGCATCTATATTTTCTGGCAAAACGACTGATTTTGGATGACCTTTATAAAATTCGTAAGGTCGATCATTGACCATGATTGAGTTCATTATACCAGTTTTTTACAGTGCTGTAGGATGGTGCGTTATCACTATGTAAAAAATTAAGTGTATCGAAGTACTCTTGTCTTGATAATCCACATCGAAGGTTATGAAAAATAATCACACGAAAATGGTCACGAGTCAATTTCATTTTTTGTGCGAGGTGAATTTTTAAATTTATTGTAAACCACACAAATCATACTAAAATGGCAAAACGTTCTGAAGAAGTTATTCTTAAAAATACCAAACTTTCGATTGGAATCGTCTGCCCTCGCCTAGCAAAACTTTACTGTTGCCAAGGCCAGAAATAAAAATAGCAACCTTCCTATACACATGAGCATACATTTCTAAACCCAATTCTGATAACAGAAGAGTATCAGTCATTAAAAAAAAATTTTTTTTAAATGTTCTAATACAGCAATTTTACTTCTTTTGGCATTACAATTATAAAAATATAGCATTTTATTTTTAGTAACTTTTATTAAATAAAGTGCCCTTTCATAAGTGTTTCTAGCTTTTAACTGAAACTGCTATTGTTTTCAAAGCAATGAACTGTCATTAACCTGGCAATCTGAAAAATGCGCACATCTTGCTTTATTGGCTGAGGCTTAAATTAATGTAATTGTTTGTTTATTGTTTGGACAGTCTTTAGCTGTTATTAAAAAAGGGGGGATTTTTATGAATGAAAGATGTAGTTGCTGATGTGTTAAGCATGTTTTTTAAGTTTCTTGATTGTCTTCTGTCAGTGATCCCCTATTAGGTTTAGAATGATAGAAAGTCACAGCTGTATTAAAAGAGTAGATATGTATAAAAGAAGTAAGTTTATGTAAACATTATTCACAATTAAAGCAACATTTACTGTAATCAAAAGAAAGGTTTCAAAATTTATTTTAATACAAATGAAGGATCTAGTTAACATAACATAGTGGAACTTTGATTCATAAATATTTTGGATCACTAATAAATTTTCTAAATGAAAAATATCTTGGATGATGAATGATATCTTGAGATACAGACAAGTAATCTGGAAACAAATGATACTCCAAAATGCACTTAATGCTGTGGAGAAAATGTCTTTAGAAGGAGAGATGTTCCGGGTTATTTGTTCTGTGAAATTGAACAAAATGGGATAAGGTGCAAAGATTCACTGATCTCTGACTTATGATCAGTGAGACATTCATTGATCTCTCTCTCTCTCTGACAAAATGTCTGTATCAGAATCGCTAGCAGTACCACTTTCTGACTCTTTAAGAAAATGAATCATCATTCTCATCTGTATCAGCAAATGGTTCATTTACCTATGAGTGTATTCTTCCGCTGATAAATAGCACCTTCATGCCATTATAGACTGGAGTTGAGGCTTTCTGAAAAAAAAAAAAAAAAAAAAAAAAAAAAAAAAAAAAAAGGAAGGTCTTGAAATGTATCTGAAGGCAATGTAAAATGTAACAGAGCTTCACATAGTAACCCTAAAAGACCGTACATAGTAGAGAAAATAAAGGAATCGGATATTGATCAGACATGCGAATGTTTATATTAGCACGTAGTGATTTAAAGAGCCCAGCTGTGTTTACACACCGAGCTGTGAGAGACGTTCTTACGGAATGCGTATATGGGCCGCCCATTCTGAAAGGGTTAATAATAGATTCATGTATCTAGAAGCTACTACTAGAATTATAATTGTCTATTCTAATCAGTTCTAATTTAAGCAGTTTAAATTTAAGAAATCTTAAAAATAATTTTTTTTTAACCGCGATTTAATTTTAACCCATGAACCTAACTAGCCTTACCTAGTTTTTTTTTTTTTTTTTTTTTTTTTTTATAAAGAAATAATTTTTTTTTTCATTTGTTATTGGAAAATGAGATAAAAATCTCATCAGCCTTTGAATTTCATAATAAGCCATTTATTAGTAATTACCATTTTGCCATTAAAATTGAATCATTTGTGGAGTAGTTAGCTTTTTATGTATAAGTAGAATGATAATGATTGCTTATAAACATTTTGTAAATGTTTTAATTTTTAAGTTTAATGCATATTGAAAATGCAAACATTTACAAAATGTTTATAAACAATCATTATCATTCTACAGAATTTTAAAGCATATTGAAAAATAGAGTACTTTCTGATTATCTATATCCTAACCCATATACGTGAAAAAGTATTTATGAGTTTTATTCTCTCAATTTCTCATCAGCAGTCATGTGGCAATTCATAATGTCTCCAAAAAGGTATTTAAATGACAATGCAGATATGCATGTAACACACATCTGTTTTGGCTGGAGCACAGTGTCAAAGTTGTTCACAATCGTGAGTTTGGGCAATTGTCTGTTTTTTTAGTGGAAACAGATTGTGTTCAGAAAAAATTACAGAAGGATTTTCAGAAAAAGTTAAGTGTTTTATTAGCGGTGTTTCTTTTTATATATTTATTTAAAATTTTATTGATAGATTGCTCAATTGCTTTTTATGGAAGTATTAGGGTGCCATCACTTTGAAAATGACTCTTGTATTTGGCTCTTAGAGAAAATTGGGGAATCTCACCAAGAGGTACTATCTTGTGGAAATAACCCTCTTTCTCTAGAAGATCAGCAGTGAATTTGGGAATGCATATTACCAATGAATTCAGGACTTTTTGGCTGGGATGTGTATAATCAGAAAGTATCAATGAAAGGAATCAACAGTAATGATTTTCCATTACTCCATTTATATATATATATGTAGAGAGAGAGAGAGTTTTGTTATAAATTAAAAAACTATTGTGAATAAACTATTAATGAAAATTTCATATTGTTAATTTCACAAAACACATGCTTAGTGAAAAAAACTGTCAAAGTTAATGATATTACTATAATTTTCACAAACAATGCTTCAGTGACTATATGCAAGCCACAATATGAAGTATAGTGTTCAAAATGTGATTTCCATTTTGTGGTTTTAAATTCTCATTTTCATGTGAATTTTGTAAAAGATATATTACATAAGCAGTGCATTTTATTTTTCTTAAAAGAATCATCTTTATCATTAATACTTCAATTTAGATGGCTAGGTATAAATTTATGTATCTAAAATTAGTAAATATAGTAATGTGTAGTTTTTCTTTTATAGCTTGTAATGCCCCAGATAAAATGCTTGTTTCTCCCAGTGCAATACCAGACAATGAATTAAAGTAAGTAGGTTCATACAATTTGTTTTAAAATTGTGTGTATTTTTATATGTTTTCTATTGAAGTAATAGTTTTGTTATCAATATTTAACACAGAATAAAAAGAATTTAGAGCCCAGCAGCGGTTAAGTAGTAAAATCGTTGAACACTAGTAGTTTTGACCCGGGTTCAATTCCCAGCAAACGGGCTGGCTGCATAGGCGTTTTCACTATGTGTAACATGTATGCGAGCCAGTTTCCCTAGAAACAAAGACATCTCTTCCCTTAGGCAGATAGCCATAGTGTGCTTTGCCATAATCAACTAAACAAACAATAAAAAGGTATTATCAAGATAAATATAAGTGCACATTTTATGTAATAATAAGACATTTTATAAATCTTACGTGTTCTGCATTTTTTGTATTTGCACGAATCTAAATTAAGAATTTCTGAAATTAAACTTTATTATGTTTAATTTTATTCAAAAATTAGAAATTTATTTAAATTCATTGCTGTTAACAACATAAAATTCATTTGTGTTAATGTTGCTTCTCATAACTTAGAAATGTCTTGTTTTTTTTTTTAAACTGAATAAAATCAGGGTAAAGTGCATTTTCAGATGCGAGGTTTTTTTTTTTTTTTTAAATTTATTTAAAGAGTTAAAAATAATGTATTTCAATACTTTTATTTTCAAAATAGAGCAGCAATTATTCATCATTAATAATTTATTTTATGAAAGTTTTAATATTTTGTTTTCTAACGAAGTTTATGTAAATTCTGTTTATTGTATATTTTAAGTTCTACTTGTGAAATATCAAATTTTTATCGCCTACAGCAGTTTCTAATTCATGCACTTATCCCAAAATTTGTTAAAGTAAACCCTTGCTGAATGTGAAGTTGCATCATTAATATATTTTGCATATGGCAAAATTGCATTTCACAAGTTTATTTTCTTTGGAAAAACTGCATTAGGTATAATTCAGATTAAGAAAGTATATTTAATTTAAATAAACTTAAATATTGTTGTAATTAAAAGAAATGTTAGTTGCATGAATTTTTATTACTATTTAATAAATGCAATTATTAAGTAGTAATTATACAATTATTTTTTAAAAGGCTAATGATTTTTGCTTAGGCCCTTGGTTGATGCAACTTAAGAGTGCAAAGTTTTTCATTGCTTCTCAAAAAGTGTTTTTTTCTTTTGAATAATCTTCATTTGCAAAATCAGACAGTTCCTGTGCCTTTTTTAACAATCTTTCTAACTTCTTGTAAGTTAAGTGTACTTTATCTTCTTTTTCATTACCACTATTTTTTCTATCATCTGGTGTTACAGAATCAACTAATTCTTCATTTATTATTTCTCAGTTGTCATTTCTCAACTAATTTTTCTTTAGCAGAAAATCCTTTGCCACTATTTGCTTTTGCAATTTGTATGATTTCTTTGGCTTCATATTCAGTCAGTGGAAATTCTTTAAAATTTTTGTTAGCTTCTGACTAATGCTGTTGCCAGCAAGCATCCAGTGTTAATGAATGAATGATGAACACAGTCTGAATGAAATTATAGCATTGGAGAAATTAAATGAATGTTATTAAGATAGCCCATATTTGTGAAACCGTGTTCCTCAAAAATCTCCTTCGGTAAGGGTTTACTGTAATTTAATTTCTGTGTAAAATATGTGTAAGAAAAGTAAATAAGAATGTGGTTATATGAATAATAATTAAAAAAAATGAAAACAATCCTAGCGGTTGTAATCTATTATATATGTCATGGCCAATTGGTTACTGTTATTTAAAATTTCACTTTCATGTGACTTAATTTACTATTTGCATAATAATTGGCTATTAATTAATTAGTTGTTCTTGATAATTTGTTTTAAAAATTGATGTAGAAAGCTAGTTAAATCTTAAAGTAGTTTTTATGTTTTCGTTAATGTATTGAATCTATCTTTTAGTGTAATTCTATCTGTTAAAAGATAATTAAGTGGAAGATTAAAAGGTTAGAAATGATGCTGTCCATAAAACATAAATAGTGGAAGAGAAACATGCCAGTGTACGATTTAGAGCAAAAAACCTATGGCTTTTGAGTAAAATCTTTTGATTTGGAAGGTGATCTGTTTTTGACTGTGTAAAATCATCCTAAACATCTATCCAGTTTTCCTCAAAATTTTCAATAAAGTCTGTCCAAAATTTTAAAATAAAAATTGAGAATTTGGAAAGCCTGTGTTCAGTTTGATCTTTTATTATCGACAAATTGAAATAAAATACAGCACTCTGACAGAATCTTGCAACAAAGAATGAAAAATTTAATAATTTTTTTTTTTTTTTTTTTTTTTTTTTTTTTTGTAAATTACTTCAATGATGAAATAATATTTTTTATTGGTTGTAATTTTTTCCCCTGCTTATATTAGCTAAACATTCAGCCGTTCATGAAATTTTCTGCTAAAAAAGGAATTTTTTCCCCTCTCCTTCTATTTCAGAATTGAAAAATTTTGTGCTCTTTGTAATTTATCTGAATCCAGTTTACTGGGACAAGGAAGGCTGAAGAATTTTAAACCTACTCCAGGCTTTGACTGTTTTAAAAGTATGAAACAGAAAATTCTGAGTTGTGAAAAAACTGTGGAAGTTTCTTCAGAATCTGGTGGTGAATTAAAACTTTTTTTTAGAAAGCAAAAATTGTTTGATTCAGGGAGGTAAGCATAAAATTTATACGAAAAATGATATTATATGTAATAGTAATTAGGATTTGCTTAAGAAGAAGAGGATATATTATGTAGATTTTCATAATTGAACATGTAAATATTGTAGATTTTAATTTGATGCAATACATTGAAATCAAAGTATAGTCAAAAGTCTTTGATCCGGACTCGTCGGGACTTCAGCGATTCCGGATTATCGGTTTTTCCGTATTATAGATCATCAGTTTAAATCTGGTAAGATGGCATGCAGAAATTATAAAATTAAAAATATGAAACCGTAATTTATGAAATAAAGAGCAATTACGATGTAAAGGGTATAAAAATTTACAAAAAAAAAAGCTTAATATTTATTTGTTTACTTTATTAAACATTTCTTTCAACGCGCGCATGCGTAAAGCATACATTACGCATAGTCGAAATTAGAAAGTTGCAGCCAGAAAACTATTTGATGTGTATTCGTGATATTTATAATGACGAGGAATTTGATTAAAATCATATCAAAGACAGAGTACATCGAGATGAAATACTACATTTAGTAAGGAATTATAAGCCGAATAAAATAAAAACCTCTGCTCTGAAGATAAGGATAGTGCTGACAGATCAACTTCCAGTTCATTGCGTGCCGTGACGTCCCCCCCCCTGCGCAGAGAAGTGGGAAATTATTAGAGAATCAAAGGATATGCCTTTATCCATTTTTTTGCAGCAATTCCACTTTTTTTTTTTTTTTTTTTTTTTTTTTTTGATGGACATCAGAACATGCTTTCACTTTGTAGATCCTTTGGTAGCTCCAGAACCAGAAATTCTTTTTGACATAATCGAAAGTTCAAGCTTACTTTTATAAAATTGCTCTAATAGTCTGCAAAAAATAATAAGCCGGATCTAATTAGAAGATTAAGGGAACAACACAATCTGCTATATTAACTGAAATAGATAATTTTAGCTTAGCTTGTACCGTCCGTTATACATTAAACGCGCATGCGTAAACGTATTATGCGCATGCATAAAAGTATTATGCACATGCATTAACGCATTATGCGTTGACCCATGCACAGAAGGTTTGTAACTTTGAGGTCCGGATTATAGATCATTCCGGATTATGGACGTCCGGATTAAAGACTTTTGACTGTAATGCAATGAGATTTGAAATGAATTTGATGTATGAATAAAATATGTAAATTAATAAAATGAGTGTTTGATTAAGTAATAATTAGAAAAGTCAACATATTATATATTTAAAATTTTAATTTTATTTAGCTGAAGACATTGCATGTTTTGAATCTTTTAATTGGAACATTTTGACAAAACTGTTTTCATGGTATACTTTAACTGAATTTTCATGGCATGTCTTAATTTGTAACTATTTGAATTTATGTTTTATGAGGTTTGGCAAGCTTTAATGAGTCCATTTGTTTTGCATTAATGAAAAAAATCTTTTCAAAAAGTGCATTGAGCCTGTAGCACTAAATAAAAACCCAACTACTTTAAGAGTACTGGGTACAAATTTGCTGGTATTTTAAAAAATATGGAAACCTATTTAGAAACATGACTTTTCTTAAAGTCAACATTTTCTTTTAAATGGAATTTGTTTTCACTTAATTCTTTGTGTGAATTTTACGTATTTATTATATGGCCAAGACTGCAGTTTCAACCGAATTTTCACTCAACTGAAGTTTATGTAAGTTATTTTTCTGACGTAATGAACAGTTTTTCAATAAAAAATATTTATTAATTGTGTAAAAAGTCAGGTTTTTTCTAGGAAACTCAAAATATTATTGTGAAATTGATGCAGGTCCTTCATTATTTTAGTTTAAGAATGCACAGACAAGGTAATTTTATGAATGTTTAGACAAGGATTTAAGTAAGTGTAAGATTGTTTTAATGTGTTGGCCAAATACTGATCTTTAAGCTTTTGTGCATTTTTATCTTTTGTAGAACCTATTAAGTAATTTTAATATCCCTTTTTTCCTTGTAAATTTGAGCTGATCTTTCAAATTGATAAAAAAGTAAAGATATATTTGTATCATTTTTTTATTTTCATTACTGAAAATTCTGAAAAAAATCTAGTGCTGTTACTAGTACTGTTTTCTATGGTTTGGTGTCCTGCCCACTTCTTACATTTTTTTTCACCTGTTTTTAAAATTTCACTGTCAATATCTGATTTTTTTCCCCACAGAACATTATACGTAGCGTATTCGGAAACTAAGTACCGTTTCATTCTAGCGCCATCACAGCGCTGTGGTAGGTGTCCCGAGCATGCACACTAGTCTTTCTTGTTCACTGACTTTCAATTGTCGGCAGTTTGCTGTGCACATTCAAAATGTTTAAGACAATTAGTTCTCCCGTTGACTGTGAGATTCGTGCCGAGATAAAATTTTTGAACGCGAGGAATGTTAAACCGGCCGAAATTTATCATCAAGTGACAGAAGTTTATGGTGAATGCGCGATAAGTGATGGAATGGTGAGAAAGTGGGTAAGAATGTTTAATGCAGGTCGAACAAATGTCCACGCCGAGGCTCGGAGTGGTCGGCCTTGTGTTGTCACCGATGATTTGGTAAGGAAAGTTGATGAAGCAATTCATGAGAACAGACGCTTCACAATGACAACTCTTTCAGAGGCATTTCCACAAATTTCACGTACTGTTTTGTTCGAAACTGTGTCTGACCGCTTGAATTATCGCAAACTGTGTTCCCGATGGGTTCCAAAAATGCTCACTGGTGTTCACAAAACAAAGCGACTTGTTAGTGCCCTGACATTTTTCACGCGGTACAGTTATGAGGGAGAAAACTTTTTAAACCAAATTGTGACAGGTGATGAAACTGGGGTGTGTCATTTCATACCAGAATCGAAACAACAATCGATGGAGACACACACATTTTCCGAAAAAACAAAAGTTCAAAGTGACAATGTCATCACAAAAAATCATGTGCACTGTCTTCTGGGATAGGAAAGGCATTTTGCTTACTGAATTTCTTCCCAGAGGTGAAACCATTAATGCGGCACGATATTGTGAGATTTTAACAAAACTAAGGTGTGCCATTCAAAACAAACGAAGAGTAAAGTAAGCTCAGTAAAGGAATTGTGTTTCTCCATGACAATGCTCGGCCCCATACTGCTGGTGTCACTCAATTGTTAATTCGACAGTTTCATTGGGAGCAGTTTGATCACCCGCCGCACAGCCCGGACTTGCCGCCATCCGACTATCACTTGTTCCTGCACATGAAGCGCGAGCTTGGTGGCAAGCGCTTTGGATCTGACGATGACACGAAAAATGCTGTGGAGTCGCGGTTATCGAAACTGGCGGGAAGTTTCTTTGACGATGGTATACAAAAACTGGTCACCCGCTATGACAAGTGTTTGATCATTGGTGGAAACTATGTTGAAAATTAGTTTAAGACATGTATTTTCATGTAAAAATAAAATTGAATTCGAAAAAATAGTTTTACTATTTTTTTTTTCAAAAACGGTACTTAGTTTCCGAATACGCCTCGTATAATGTATGATTTGAACAGTTGGCTTTCATACATTTGTTATTTTTGTTTTTGAGTAACTCATATACTGAATGTTTCTTTCTAAGCATTATAAGGTGAAATATGCTTAAAATTGGGTGAATGGTTTTGCATCAACATGTTAGAAATTGTTGATATTGTTTCATCAGAGCTTTCTAGAAAATTCATTTTCTACTCCTTTGTTAAGATAAATAATTAATATGAGTAGAAAATATGTAAAACTTTAGTTGAAAAAGGGAAAAACATGTTGGTTTTTACAAAACAGTTTTAAGATTTCTAGGAAATCTTTCACACTTTTAGGTAAAAAATCATTTTTAATAAATATTTTAAGCTCAGTCCTAATGTACGATAATTTGTCTGTTGTTTCTAAGCCATCAAATTGTGATGGTGATAATTTATTGTCAAAATTTAAACTAGAATAGTATGTGTGTTAACATAATAATACCGTTGTCTTTATTCACAAGCTGCAACTCATGTGATGCTTACAAAAAATTATGAAATAATTGGGTAATTTATTGCTGCTATTATATTTAGTTTGATATGATTTTTGTACTGATAGTGAATATTACTTTAAATTAAATTGGCCTTCATAAAAAATGATAAAATGTTTTTGCCTCACCTTATAATAATAATAATAATTTACAATAATAAGCATGATTTATTGTTTCCTTTTTTATACCCATTTGAATGGTTTTGCCTTTTTTCAAATTTTTATTTTTTTTTTTTAAATTAAATATATTTACTGACATTCCAACATTTTCTTCTTCTTCTTTTCTTTTTTTTTTTTTTTTTTAAATTAGAGTAATGCTGAAATCTAATGGCATTTTATTGAAAACAATAATTTTTTTTTTTTTTTTTTTTTTAAACTGAAATTGAGCACATGTGTATAAATGAGCAGGAAGCAACTCAAAACTTTGCATCAGAAACATTGCTAATTTCTTAAAAGAGGATTTCTGTACATTTATCATCATGATAGTAGTGAGCATTTGCCATTGATATTCTGCTCACAAGTTATTATTAAAAAATTTTTGATTTCATAGATTTCAAGCAAATAAATTAATTTTATTTTTATTTTTGTAAAAAAAAAGGGGGGAGAAATCATTATTGTATCAGCAAGAAAAAATGCATATCTCAGAATTTGCTGCCTCCCAAGTACAACTTCAGGGAAAATGTAGTGTCTGGTAACCCTCATAGTAATAGATGCATAATAATAACATAATTATTATAAAATGTAATTAAAGATAGTTTTATTTAGTTAATTAATGAGTACATTGTTTTCAAGTTTATTTGAATATTCGTTTATTTGAATTTGAAATATTAATTCTGAAATGTTTGATATTTTAAAATAAGTCATTTTGGCAATTTTAATTATAGTTTTTTTTTTGCATATACATTGATATAAGTAAATTATTTTTCTGTTCATAATAAATGCACAGCAGCAGAAAATGAGTCTGTTATAAAATAAAGGAAAAGTGTAAAATCCTCCCAGCTGCTGCTGATGATAATTACTAAAGATTTAGTAGTAGTTAAATTTTGTATAAAGCAATGAAAGTACTACATGAAATGTAATATTCCAAAAATAAATTGCTAAAAGAAAGCATTGGTATTGTAATCTTTAAACAAAGAAATATGAACTTTATTAAAAAATATTTTTATAATAATAAACATTCATCTCTGTGTGAGAAGCCTTTACTAAATACAGAAATGTAACTTTTTTTCTCTTAACAACCACTGTACTATCTTTGTGAAACTTCTTTCCTGTTTTTACAATTGGCATTTATTTCAACTTTGAATGCAAAAAGGTGTTCGCTGTTAACCTAATGGCAGTTATGTTATGCTGTTAACCTCTGAAAATGTTATTTTTCGTGATATCCTGCTGATTATAAAGTGCCAGTGGAACGAACAGAAATTATCTTTTATTTGTACCAGCTGAGCAAAGCCCCCCCCCTCTCCCAGGAAAGCAAAAAAGAAAACAAGTTTTTTTTTTTTTTTTTTTTGCAGAAGCTTGTTTTAGCCACACCAATGTGCAAAAGACTTTTCCTGAAAACGCACTGTGGTGGAAAAGTCGTACATGAAGAGAAAAAAATTAATAAGAAAGACACTACTACTGGGGGAAGGCAGGGGGAAGAAGAAAAGGATTTTCTAATATAGCAACAAAGTAGGTGATATTATGCTGCTGGGTTTTGAAGGGAAGTCACATGATTTGTAAAAAAGCAAACATCTCTAGATACTGCTTCAATATGTGAAAATGTATATATATGTATGCATCCCTGTAAAAAATGACTTAATTAGCTTTTGTTTTAAATTATTGTTTATTAAAGAAGACCAAAACTCGCTTTTCTTAAAAGAGAAAGATGAATTTGAACTTTAAATAGACAATTATTTATAGGTAAATCTAATATAATTTTGGGGGGGGGGCTTTTTTAAGTTTGAAGCATGTTCCTGTTATTATTATAATCTTTATGCAAAAATATTTATTCTTGTTTTCTTTTCAGTGAGCACTTGAAAATTCAAAAATCAAAATCTTTGCAAAATTTTCAAGAAAAGTCAAGTATGGTTACAGATCTCATTCAAGAGCTGGAGGTGACAGGCTTTAAGAGTATACCAGAAAGCAGCCAAATTTTTGAAACATCTGGTATTTGTACTTTTGATAATTGCTTTTGCAACGGAAAATGTTGTTGACTGTATTGTGATATAGAATGTAATAAGATCTTTAATATTAATGCATTTGCAATGGAGTTTCAGTGATTAATGGCTTGCATAATTTTGTTCAGTCTAAAATGCATAGAAAATTAAATAATTTTGATCTGGATCTTATATTTTTTAATTGTTCCTAATATTCTATTTTTCATTGCAGATGGGTAAAATTAAGTAATTATGTCTTTGTTGTCAATTTAACACCTTCAAATAATATTAAAAAATTTCTCAATGGTTTTTTATTTCTCAAAATTTTTAAATTTAATTATTAAATCTTCTTTATTTCTTTACATATATATATTATATTTACACACACACACATATATATTATTAGGAAAGGTTTTTCATATATCATCACCAAGGAACAGAAATTTAACTAAAATGATGAATTATTGGAATAAATTTTAGTCAGTAATTTAAGCAATATTTTAAGCAATTATTTAAAGTTATTTGGATTTCTATTGTAGTAAAAATTATTCAAGAGCCATATAGAAATAGTATTTTGAACAGTAAAAATTTTAAATAGTAAAAACAAAAAGTAAAATTTAAAATACTGAAAAGGACACACACACGTATATACGGTACAAAGTCTTTAATCCGGACTCGTCGGGACTTCGGCGATTCCGGATCAGGGTTTTTTCCGGATTATGGATCATTTATATTTAAATCTGGTAAGATGGCATGCAGAAATTATAAAATTAAAAATATGAAACCGTAATTTATGAAATAAAGAGCAATTATGTTCTAAAGGGTATCAAAATTTACAAAAAAAAAAAAAAAAAAAAAAAAGCTTAATATTTATTTGTGTACTTTTCTTTCAACACGCATGTAAGATGTATTGCGCATGTATACTTTACACATGTAAAGCATACATTACGCATAGTCAAAATTAGAAAATTGCAACTAGAAAACTATTTGATGTGTATTCATGATATTTATAATGATGAGGAATTTGATTTAAGTCATATCAAAGACGGAGTACATCGAGATGAAATACTACATTTAGTAAGGAATTATGAGCCGAATAAAATAAAAACATCTGCCCTGAAGGTAAGGATAGTGCTGATAGATCAACTTCCAGTTCATTGCGTTCCGCGACCCCCCCCCCCCCCCCCCGCAGAGCAGCGTGAAATTGATAAACAGATTTCGGAATGGTTAGAGAAACAAAGGATATCACTAAGGTCAAAAGGCCTTTATCCATTTTTTTTGCAGCAGTTCCACTTTTTATTTGATGGACATCAGAACATGCTTTTGCTTTGTAGATCCTTTGGCAGGTCCAGAATCGGAAGCTCTTTTTGACATAATCGAAAGTTCAAGCTTACTTTTTATAAAATTGCTCTAACAGTATGTAAAAAATAATAAGCCAGATTCAATTAGAAGATTAAGGAACAACGCAATCTGCAACATTAACTGAAATAGATAATTTTAGCCTAGCTTATACCGTCCGTTATACATTAAACGCATGTGCAGAAAGTTTGTAGCTTTGAGGTCCGAAGATTATAGATCATTCTGGATTAAAGACTTTGTACTGCATATATATATATCTTGTAAGATAAAAAATATATAACTCTAAATTATCCTTTAAATTTGTACTAGGCCCTTAATTGTTCCCTCCTTTTGTTTTAAGCACTTCTCTCCCTGTCTGTTCTAAAAAGTAGTGGTAATAACTTTTTTGAAACTGTGTCAGATCTGAAAACTAATTCCACGTTAAGCCATCTTAAACTTCTGCATTATGTATAGCTCTTAACAAGTCAGATTAGCGAAAACTTTTACTGTAAATACTGTCTAACTGGGTTCTCTTTTTCTCTGCTTATGCTGCCTAGCTGGAGGATGTCTCTTGCTTGGCTGCTTCTTTTAAAAATGTAATCTGTCATCATCAAAATTATGAAGTGCAGATTGCCCCCATTTTGATATGCCATTTAATAAAGTAACCAACAAATAATAAAGATTATATTTGTATTTTGAAGCCATTTTATTATTCTTTAAAAGATCCTGGCATCTGCTACTATGTAATCGATATTTTCAGTGATCTTCTAACATCAATTCATTCGTGATTGCAAAATAATATTGTCGTCCCTAGTCAAGCACTCATCTCGCATTAGATTACTGTAACAAACTAAATTATATCATCATACATACACACACACAATTTATAAATTGTAAAAAAAAAAATTATAATTATTGTATAAAACAATAAAATAGATGCAAATTTAGTAGATGAATGAAAAATAGTCAATATCCTTTGGCTGACATTAAGATCTGAATGAACTTTAATTATTTTAATTTTAGACCTAAAAAAATCATAAAATACAAGGAAATTAAAAATTAAAATTGATATGATTATTTTATCAATCAAATTTGAACATTATGAGGAAATCGGTAAACAAAACACTTGACATAATTATCATGTCTAGCCCACTAGATATGTTCTTCTCTTCATTCCAAGTTAGCAGAGGCGTCAGAATATATTATTTTAAAATCGTTTGGATATCTGAAAATTTAAAGATCCCTAGATATCTGGCCTGCCAAAATTGATGAAAATGCAACAGTATAAATAACATTGGGTCCATTCGGTCATATGCGTAAAACTGGACCAAAACAAAGCTTTATACAAGAAAACCAGAAACAATATAAAACAGTAATAGTCTACTGAAATATAAATGATTTGGAATTCATAAACATTAATCAACATTTAAAAATCCCATATTATTACAAAAATTATGAACATGGAAAAGAGCCCAGGTATAAATTGAAACTTATTCAAGCAGTAGCTTCTAAATGACAGTTGAAAAGATCCTGTCAAAAAGTGAAGAAAAAATAGAACAGAGTAATAGTTCTTCATGACAGTGACTTTCAAAATTTAAATGTCCTTGTTAGTCAAAGTTAGAGCCAGAATTGTAGAAAATTAAAAATGCAAATATATGCACAGTAAATAACGTATTTTACATACTAAAAAAATTTTCCCACCCATTCGCCTCATTCCTTCTCGTAGTTTAAAAATAGGCTTCATTATGTAAAAAAATATTATATAAAAAAATAGAATTACTTGTGAACTCTTTTTTAAAAATTTTTTTGAAATATTAATTTTTGCAGTAGTTTTTAATTTTTATTTTGGGGCAGTGTCAGAGCAAATTATATCTTGATGATTGATTAAATAAAGAAAAATTCTCCTTTGTTATAATGTTTAAACACCTAGATTTTTTATTTCAATTTTAATTAAGTAATCTGAATCGACTCTTTCTTTTAATTTTTATTTTGAAATGTTTCCAATATTTACAGTCATCTAGATGTAATTAAGAAATGTTGCTTAGTTTATTCTTCAACTGTTTCTTGAAAAACACCAAGAAAATTTCAATAATTTTATACATTTTATTAATTTTATTGAATAATTTTGTTTTAATTTCTGATACATATATTTCCTGTTGGAAAATTGCCCCCTTTCTTAGGTTAATTTTGATTCAGTTATTATATCTTGATTATTTAATTAATTTTGCAGCATACTGTGCAACTTTAATGTTATACATCATCATAATTGTATGTATGTTTATATATATATGTGCATATATTTGGAATCATAAACTAATTTATTGATGATAATATATGCAATTAAATTTGATTTTATTATTAGTATATATTATTAGATGTCAGTTTCTTATCACTGAAAGTTAAAGTACAATAAAAATAGAAGGATTGAAAATTCTATATTATTATCATAATATTTTAATATATAACATAAAAAAATAGATGTTTAATAATGGTCATTAAAGTAACTAATGCTTATCCTTTTGTTATTAGATTTTTATTTTTGTTCTTTTCTTCAGAGCTGTTTTGAGTAAAATAAGCATTTTAATATTATTATTAAAATTACTTGCTGAAAATAAATAGGTAATAATAATGGCAAATAAAATAGACAAAAGTTAATAGAGAAACAAAGTAATGAAAATGAAAACAGTTATTTTGTACAACATCTTCAGTTTATGCATAATGAAAATGTTAAGTAAGTAAATATTTTATTTAAAATAGTAGACTTTTGAGAAAAATCTTTGTAGTCTAAACTTCGTCTCTTCTAGTCATAACTCTAACAGCAGTCACTTGTAAGGCTTGCAAATTGGCTATGCTGAAAACTGTTGCAATTAGAAAGGCTATAAGACTTGTAAGGATTATGTTAATTTTATTAACAGTTAAATTTTAAGTTTCTTTTCTGTTGATTCTTAACTTCAACTTACTACTTCCGGCCAGAACGTAGTTTTAGAATCATGTCTGAATACATAATGAAGAACAGCGGTATTTAACCGCAAAGTTCTTAGTGAGAGAGTTACCAGGTATCTTGTCTGCATGCATCTGCCTTTTTAGGCTACTCTCTTGTAAGCTAATATTACGCTCGGCCATAGTTTAGGCCCTTGATAGCTTCACAGTCAATTAGCGTTAAGGGGCCAACTCGGTTAGAATCTTGATAGCTTCGGCTATATCTCTTTTAGTTTAGATTAGTTTTAGTTTAATTCTTAGTCTCTTAAGTTCAAGCCCAAGTATTGGCTTTTATTGTACACTCCAAGACGGAGTTCTGTTAAATCTTATTTGAATAATAAAGGGTTATTTACCCTTCCCTCTGGTTGCTTCCTGTCACATGAACTCAAGTGATTATTTGCTTATAAGTTCTTAAGATTCTTCACGTTCAACAGTAACTCAACATTTACAAAGTGAGGAACTCTACAGACTTTTAGTTTATCTGTCATGATCACCAGTATAATAAGTAATATGATTTAAAAATGATGTACTTACTTTGTAATAATTTAAAAAAAACTTTTCTCAGCATGCTAATTAATAATTTTTGTAAATATTTATATTATTAATATAGTTAATCAGATATTTCGAATGCTGTGTCCGATATAGATCATTTGCAAAATAATTGGTAACATGATATGAATCGTAATCAAGCATAGAGTTTTCATTTTATTGCTGCCATTCTTGTTTCTGTAATAAAATATGAAATTAATTTTTACAAATATTTATAGAGGATTGTTCAAAAATTTTAAAGTTTCTTGGTTTCGGATCACAGTGTAAAAATTAAAAATATATACATAATACTTTTTTCAATAAATTCTCAAGATAGAATGAATTGCCAAGAATATTTCTTTCGGGAGAATTATCTGCTATTATCTTTATATTTTCCTTTTCAGTTGATAGGTTTTACAGCTGCTTGACAAAATAGTAAATAATTTCTGGAGTATTGTCAGCATCAGATAACTTCTTGTTTTATGATTAATATAAATTGAAATACAAGAAAGGTTATTTTCCTGATTAACTCGCCAAACAAGAGCTTTGTATTTGATCAGCAGATAATGATCCACTTTGAAGTACTTATATCCATCTGTTTTTCTAATTGCATTGTTCTGATATACAATATTCTGAATATGCTGTACATTTTTCATTTAAATGATCAGATACATGAGGAAGAATGGACATGTTAGTCTCTCAGCAACTAGTAGATACCTGAAGAAGAATTGACATGTTATTCTCCCAGCAACTAGTACCAAATATCCTTTGCTGTAGAAGAACATAATTAACTGTTAATAAGCTTTCAGCCATTCTTCTGAACTGTAGATGGGAAAAATTACACAGGTAATGCAGCATAGACATCGCATGTGTAATTTTTCCCATTAATAGTTTGGTATTTCAAGTTGTTTTTCCCTTCATATTTGGTATGCGGTAGACATGGGTGCAAAAATCATTTAGAGTTGGCTAGTAGACAGATACCAAAAATTGATATCTAATTGAAAACTGAAATAAACAGCAAGTTGTTGCCATTGAATGGTATCACAGTATTATTGAGGAAAAAAATTTTTCTTGTGTGACACTGGTCAGGAATACATTCATAATCAGAAAGTTGAATAAAACATCTTCAAGCAACTGCCTTATATAAAAAAAAGTATTCCTGACAGCTATTGTGTGTACTTTTTCCTTTAACCTCTTGTACATGAAATTTGCAATATTTATTTCCCAGCTGGATATCAGACGATAGATATGATCTCTAAAACTGTTTATTATGGCAGAAAAGCTATTCCATTCATTCATTTACCATGGAAAGTATAGACATTGTTATATGTAAACTATGTAGTAACTATATCCTGTTTAAATGGATATGAAATTTTTATGATGAGAATACCTGCTTTCCCATGTTTTCTAACACATGAAAGATTGCTGTTATATATATCACTTATGCAACAAAATTTTTCTTTTAGGAGAATTGTATGCACATTTTAATTGTGCTGCATGGTCAGATGGCGTTACAAAGACTTTTGAAAAGAAACTTTCAAATGTTGATAAAGCAGTAGTTGCTGCTGCATTTCAGGTTAGTTTGGTTTTTTAATTCATCAGATGCGAAACCTAGCCCTTTAGCAATGTAATTATCTCTTTCGTTTTTGTATGCAATATGTTTTTAATTTAGGTAATTTTTATGTAAAAGTGACAAACATATTTACGATACTTTTATGAATATTTATCATCTTTTTATGTACAGCAAAAGTTTATTGTATTTATAGTTGCAGCTTAATAGATGTGTGTGAATCTGATTCCTTAGTACCAGTTTTTGTCCTCTATTTAAATCAGAGGCAATTAATAAATATAAAACAAGGATTGTTTAAAAGAGAAATATTAAATCACAAGAAGACTAACACAATTTTTCTTAAAAGTTCCTTGTGTTTCAAAATAAGATAGGTTAAAATCAGTGATTAACTTTAGTGCTACTACCTGACAAAATTCCAGATTATTCTATTGGTAGAGATAACATAAGTTAATCATTGATATTTAAGCTAAATAAAATTTCATAATTAAGTTACTATTTTTTTAAATCTTGTCAAATTAATTCCCCCCCAATCACTTCATTATATATAAAGAAGAAAATTATGTAGAAAATTTGATTCATTTGCAGATCAATTTGTGAACACCAGAAAGACCTTTAAGAAGGAAAGAACATTTTAATGTTTTGGTACTCACAGGGTTCGGTAACACAACATTCATTTCAGCAGTAACTTTTGCAGCTGTGGTCTTCTTATTTTTCGTCACAATTGCCCTTAATGATCGTCTGTCACGATCACTCAGGACACACTTTCGTCCGCGCTGTGATTTAGCAGATGATGTTTTTCCGCTTTTCAAATATGCGGAATAAATCTTCGATACAGTACCTCTTGAAACACTAAACACCTCGGCTACCTTGCTTACGGAAGCACCTACCATACGTGCTCCAACAATTTGCCCACGTTCGAAGTCTGTTAACTCTGACATAATGCAATGACAACCTCACATAACAGTACTCCGACAACAACTGAACTGTTTAGCACATTTACGAAGTTGTATAGGTGGCGTCAGTAGTCAAAAACGCCAGCGCCACCTACATATTTCATTAAAATCAATCTTTCTTTTCAAACATGCATTTCACAAGGTGTTTCCATATTTTTGTCCATCCACTGTAAACTTTTTTCAAGTATTTGTGTTTGCGCACAAAAAGCCATTTTAAAAACAATTTTCTTGAAGAAGAGATATGAAACTAAATTGAAATTTAAATTACATAAAAACAGACCGGCTTGTACAAATTGAAGCAAAAATCAGAGCATGATGTGAATGATTAAGATATTGATCATGAATATCCTTAAAAAAGGGAAAGAAAACCTTCCTTTTTATACTATTCATTGTAAATGATTAGGTTACATTTTTCATCTGTTAAATAAGTAGAATGTTGGTAAGGAAAAATTTGAAAACCGGATTGATAATCTAATATTAAGACTTGTGTAATATAGTAAAGCAATGTATATTTCAAGTAATTTTATATTAATGATCTGTAATTAATCACTTAGGGGCCCACTAGTGATTGAGCAGATAATATTTGCTGAACACTTTTAAGAGCCATTCTCACTGGTGTTTGTCGGAGCTAACGGAGTCAGTTCCACGTGTCGACTAGCTCTGCTATGCCTACAGTTCAGATTTTTCAACTTGCTGCTCTATGGGAAAAACCTGGTTTTGGAGATGGGTTAGCTATGTCAGTTGTCTCCATTAGCTCAGATAAACCCCAGTGGCAATGGCCCTTTAGGTTAACACGAGTTCTAATCTAAGCAAAAGGACTAACTATACACGTATTTTCATAGTTTTTTGCCTGTTGGCCAATTTGCCATAGAATATGTGCCTTTTCCTTATGTAGATAGCCGTCACATACTTTGTTATACTTAATTAAACGTATTAAGTACCCATTAATCATTCCTAAGTATTTGACTTTTAATATCCGGTTTTAATTAAAGTTTTTAGTGCTGCAAATATAGTCTGCACAAACAGTTCACGTTGGCATGTTTAATCATATTTTATCAAACGATTTTTGGCATTTGAAAGAAAGAGACTTGCTTAAGAACACTGTGTTGTGAAATTTGTAAAAAAATAACATTAGCTTTAAGTACATGGAGTGTGAAATGGAACTATTGTGCTACCAGATTAGAACCAAGTGTATGCATCTCATAAACTTGAAGTACAACCTCAGTCGCTGGCTGCTGCATGTGCTTACTCAAGCAGATGACAGATGTGTACGGTCCTGCACTTATCTGCTCGAATCTCAATGCAAAGACAAAATTATGGACTGGGTCGTCATTTGTGATGAAAAGTGGATTTACTTCAACAACACAGGCCGAAAGAGGGGTTTGTCTGCACCCGTTGAGCCCATTGGCAACGTTGCAAAGATCAATTTGACTGACAAAAGGACCGTGCTTTGTATCTGTTGGGATTGCCATGGTTTTATCCACAATATCTGTAAAAAGGTAAAACCCTCAACAGTAAGGTTACAGCGAAATGCTAGTCCATATTAACACTGCTATCAAGAAAAAATGTTGAACTGAGTTCCAGCGTGAAAAGGTAATATTCCATCACGATAATGCAAGACCACTTTTGTCTGCATTTACCAGCTGGACCCTTTATGGGTTCGATTAGGATCTTTTACCACACCCCTACCATTAAAGCCCTGACATCGCTTCTTCGGACTTCTACCTTTTTTCACCCCTGCAACTACATCATTGCTGGTGTTATCTTCAACTCTGCACAGAACATCCGAAATGAGGTTGATCTGTTTTTGGACTCGTGTCCACCAAGTTTCTAGGCTGAAGGCTTTAAAAACTGTCAAAACATTGGCAAAAAATCATACATTTGGGTGTGATTACTATCCGCACTAAAGGTACTGCTTTCATGTTTTGTTCTTTAACTTTATGAAGAATATTTTTTGGTGGAAAACTTTCGTTACAAGCAGATATAAATAGTTGTTTTTATTATCGTAATGTATTGAATAATATTTTAATAAAATTCTTTGTATAGTATAATATTGTAAATTAAATATTATCTAAAGATCTATGGGATATATCGCGTCTCCCTTTTATAGCTATAATGTTGTTAGAAGTTTTTGTTTGGTACATTATAGATTTTATTGTAATCATTCTGTTAACATGATTCATATCTATTTTTATTTTCCAATTATTTTCAGAAATGTAGTAAATGTGATAGGTATGGAGCTTCTGTACGATGCTGTGTTTCCGAGTGCACAAAGATATATCACTATCCATGTGCTATTGTGTCTGGTGCATTACAGGTAATTTTTGGCTTTTATGATTACTTTAAGCAGTTAAGTTACTGTACATAAGTAACGCTAAATGTTTCGAGTTACAAATTATCAAAATTTTGTATTTCTTATAGAATGCCAATTGCTTCAAAATTATATGTTCCATCCACTTAGAAGATGCTTTTTCATTTGGTGAGTATTTAGTTTAAAAGTTCTTTCATTACTGTTTTTCAATGAAGTTAAAAGATTAAGAATTAATTAGTTATTTGGATTCTTTATCCTTTGTATCTTAACCCTTATTCAAAGGACATAACATAGAGAGCATTTGAACTCAAATAAAACAAACTGTTAAGCATAAAAATTTCATTCCCTAGAAGACAAATCAACAGTATGGCCTCAAGCTCAGGTGATTCATTACTTCCTCCTCTCATGAATACAGAAAATTTCAAAATTTTCATCATAGCCTCAGCTTTGAATTGAGCTGTCCCTGATAGTTCATTCATAGAATTTGAGTAGAATCGGAGAATTTGTTCATGTTCTTTGGTTTAATTGTTATGAGCACCATATGGTGTCCTAAGATATGCCAATAATGCCCTTGTTCTCCTAGAACTGGTTTCATAGCTGTTTTCCAGAGCTTTTGTTTAAACTTGAGGAAATTTAAAAAAAAAAAAAAAGTTTCAATTATTGATATCCATTCATTTATTATATCGAATTTTATATAGTACAAGATAACATTAAGTTTGTGGGAAATTGGATGGGACTAAAAGCTTTGTTATATTCGAGAGTTCACTATAAGCCATGTTTATTATAGTATGGTTTGACTGTATATACATCAAACTTATATTAAAACAGAGGCCTGTATTGTTGTTAATTGTTAATTAAAAAATAAAATTTTGTGTTCCCTTAATGGTTAGATAAATGATAACTTATAATTTTGCTACAGAAAATGCTAATTCAAATCAAATAATCATATCAAAATGTTTTGGTTATTTAGCATTTTGATGAAAAAAGTGTAACTGATTTACAGATTTTAATTGCCATTAAAAATCCTTTTGTTTCATTTGCACCAATACAAAATTAGACTTAATTAAAAAAACTTTTTTAATATAACAATTTTTTTTCAAATTTGCAGAGTAATATATAATGTATAGTAGGGGGAAAAATTAATGTTATATCACTAGAATCCAAAAAGAAAATTTATTTGGTTTCCTTTTGACTTTATGAAGTAATGTATTATGTTTTCTTGAACACTGCAAAGTTTTCCCCCCTCATTGTATGATTCTAGTGTTTTAATTATGAAAATATGCTGTTTCAGGACAAAAATATTTCATCATCATAAAATTTCCATCATTTTTACTCTGCCTGTGTGTTTTGTAAACATTTAAGAAAAGGAATACATATAGTCTGTCAAATAGCTTTTTGACAGTGAAAATTCCTTTTTTCCTTTCTTAAATTCTTCATTGTTACGACATGACAATTAGAAAATAATTTCCATTCACTAGTATTTTCAAAAAAATTTTAACAGACGGTTTCATTCAAATAAGAGCTCCACAACATACGTCCCTCAAGAATTCCTAGTCCCTCAAACACCATAAATTACTTCACACAAGTCTTACTGACTGATATAATTCAAAGCCCCCGCTGCCGCTAAAGAATTTTCTGAACACAACCCTTCTGAGTCAGACGCGAAGAGAACACTTTGCCCACTCCCAACTAGAAAGAACGTAAGTTAATTAATGCTTTTTCTGGCCTTTATATCTTCATGTACATTCACTTTTCTTATTATATCTATTTTTTATTTTTTTATTTTTTATTTTTTTGATTTGTTTTTACAAAGATTGCATTATTTCTTACATTTTGTAATTTTCCAATGCTTATTTCAACTACTTTGAATTATCTTTCATAATGACAATTTCCAATGTTTAATTTTTACAAATAATATTGAACTCAAATGCATAAACATGAGGGTGTCGGGGAATGCTTACTCGAGCGATATCGCATTTACTGCAGAAATTGCTTTTCACTCAAAATTGAATTACCTAAAATACTTAATCGGAATGAGTTCTTTGGATCTCTGCATTGTTTCTTAATCCCTTCTATTCATGGAAATGTTTGGCCTGACTTGAATTGCCGGTTTGGCATCGCCTTACTGCTCGAGTAAAGGACGAAACACCTTCGTATTTATTTCTTAATTATTGTTCGTTGAATGGGAGTTAACATGTTCCCCTTGAAAAGTCAACTAATTTCCGATCAGTGGTAATACTTAATTGCATTTAATTTAATTCTTGCTTTTAATTTATTCCTTTTACAATTGTTGTTCATGATTTAATTCCAGTCCCCATTAAACATTTTTAACAATTTACATTCAAGTTACTTAAGAACATCTTTCGAAATAGAACTTACTAAGTATGGATTCACTATTTTTAGATCATTCTACTATAATTAATCTTAGGAGATAATATAATCAATATTATTTAGTAAATAAATTTTAGTCACTTTTTCTGTAATATTTGTTTAATGTAAATCCATTTTAAAATCTCAAAGTAATTATTATTACATTTTATGATTTGCAGTTTATTGTAAAAGGAATAGAAAATAAAAGAATTAAAAAAAATGTAGTATATTTACATTATTTGCATATGAGTGCCAAGACTACTGAATTAGAAAGTTTAATATATTAGGAGGTTTGTTGTGGTTAGTAATAATCAAAAATCAATACTGATGCTTTATGAGCCTTGGCGTGGCCATTGAAACCTGTGATCTCCCAGTTAGTAACATTTATCAAGATTATTGGGAATTTTTCTGATACTGTTCTGGCTATTAAATGCAGCACATTATTTATTTAGTGCTTTTAAAATTATGATGGTTTTTTATAGTAATTTATTTAAAGGGTGTTTTGTTTAATTATTCTTTCAGGTTTCTTTTCTTATTTGTTATACCATATGCTTCAAAATTTTTGTGCCTTCAGGTTAAACAGTAAAAACTGACTTTTTATTATCAAATTTCTAAAATTTTTCTCTTAATTTTTAAAATTCTTTCATTAATGTTTGTGCTTTCTTTGCATTTACCATATCCTTGCATTTTTATGCATGTCGTTAAAAAATTGAGTAAATTTTTTTTTAGGTGTCTTATGTATGGCATGCCATGAAAGTGGTGATTTATCACAACTGTTGCTGTGCACATCCTGTGCCAATTATTATCACGGGAATTGCATGGATCCTCCTATAATGCCATCTCCAGATGTGCGAGCAGGATGGCAATGTTTAGACTGCAAAGTGTGCCAAAATTGCAGGTAATTAGCCTTGTATTAAAATGCCCCTTTTTTTAAACTGCTGAAATAAGGAAAATCTCAAAACTGACATATAACTTCCAATGCTTAGTTAGCAAATTTAAATTTGAAATATTTTGATGATTTAAAGGAAATAAGCATGTATTCAGATATTTTCAGAACAGGTTAATTCTTGTTGATTGTATGCATATGGATGCAGCAACAATACTGTGTATGTATAGAACATATGGTTCTTGAGAAATACAATATTATTAATGTTTTTATCAGTTAGATTTGTTAATGTTCATGAAAACTTCAGAATTTTCGGTCGTTTTTATGAGTAGATACTAGTAAAATAATAACTTTACGGTAATATTGTTAATGTGTGTATTAGTTTTGTTGAATTAAATGTTTTATTAAAAATAGTGCTTGCTTGTATCTGAAATTCTAGTTTTCTGTTTGTCTGGTGCATTTTAATTTTCCTTATGTAAATTGATTAAAACGCTTAAATTAAATGAGAAAGCTCACACCATTGTAAATGATGCATGCCGTTTACATTATTGCTTCTTTTGATGATATGTAAATTTGGCAGTTGTGAATAATTTTTATTATTGAGAATTCTTAAATTTTTTTGATCAATTTAGCTATAAACTGTTAAACTTGTAATAATCTTGGCTGAGAGTGATTAAAAGTGATGTTATTTAAGCAGCCAAAAAGATTCAAATTGATCTTTCAGTTTCTTATTAAATTAAAAGTTTAAGGAAGTAATCACTAAATTTAATTTTATTTTGAAATAGCTGCCAGTTTTTGTTACATAAATTACTTTTATGAAGTTTTCCAAAGTTGGATCAGTTGTAATTTTTGTTACATAAATTGTTATTGCTTTTATAAAAGTTTCCTCAAACTGGATCATAAGTAGTAATTTTTCATTGCTGTAACCATTAGAGTTATGATACTTCAGTTTCATCAAAGTTCAGCAAGTATATATTGTTTCTGTTTTACATTGAATTGTAAGGTATAATTTTTCAGCAAGGAAAGTGTTTCTAAAGGTTATTGATAATATGCTTTGGGAAAACATCCTTTACTGAAGTTGATTTTTATATATTTTTTTATATTCATATTATTATTTTTATCTTGGAAAAAAAGAATTTTTTTCTTTTTTTAATACTATTTCTAAAATAAAAATAAGTAAATGTTTTCTTAACATAATTAAAAACATAGTTAAAAAAACGAAAAAAGTTTTTGTGCATATAGAATTAAATCAAGACTTAGAAATGTGAAAAAATTTAACTGAAACAATTCTTTAGCTGACTGAGATTACATAAAAATAAAAGTGATTGAGATTACATAAAAATAAAAGTGATTGAGATTACATAAAAGAAAGTCTATTTTAGACTTCGTTATTTTCCTCTATCTAACCCATTCCTAAACTGATCTACAACATTTCAGCTGTAGCATGGAAATGCGTGATAGTCTGGATGCTGAATGGTAAGGGGTTCCAAGAAGAGGTAGCACTTCAAAAGGGGAAAAGAAAATTAAAATGTAACTTTCTAGAGTTGCTTAGGATACTCTGTGTGAAAGAATAAGAAATTCAGGTTTTGGCAGTGTTTCATATCGTGTCAAAAATAAATAACTTTGATGAGTTCTGCATAAGTTTTGGCAAATGAATGATATTGCTATAATGGAATGCAATAATAGAATGCAAGTACAAGCTCAGAGTAATGTAGCAAGCAGAATGATAGTGAATATGTAATGGGATAATTTAGATAATAACAATAATGGGATGATTTGAATATTCTTGGGAAAAAAGCAGTGTATGGCTGAATAGTTGGAATATTTTTTATCCTTGAAAGCATGATGTGGAGTTAATATCTTAATTGAATAGCAGCCTAGAGAGGTTTGACAGTAATAATAGATATTGTTTATGTTTTCTAAGTTATTCTGGAATCTTCATTATGAATAAATTATTAATGAAGTTTGTATTTAATGTAATTTCTCTTTCTAAGGCAACCTGGAGATAACAGTAAAATGATGGTGTGCAACACATGTGATAAAGGATACCACACTTTTTGTGTAAAACCAGCCATCGCCTCAGTTCCTAAAAGTGGTTGGAAGTGTTCTGTAAGTATTTTGTTTATAATAGGAATTCTTAACTGATTTTCTTTTTTTAATGTGGAGATTTTTTTTGGAGGGTGGGCAGTGCTATTTTTGACCATAACCATTTCCTTGTCAAATTTAATTAAAAATTTTGCAAATATTTTATTATTCTTTCATTTTGTTTTTGAGCTATTGAGATGAAAACTATTATTATTAGTGTGGTGTATCGAGAACTTAATCACAATTGAACTTAAAGCTGGCGTAGCGCCAAGCATGGCAAGCACACAAAATAATTGTAAACCAGAACTAAGACTGGAATGCTCGTAGTGATATGTGTGTATGCGAGTGATGATGTGTTTTGTACATAATAAAGTAGCATGCAATTAAATACAGCGTCTTGTGAAATAATTACCCACCAAAGATATACAACAATTAGGAAGAAGTATTATATGTAACTTCTGAGGCATGTTCCTATATAGAAATATTCCCATCTAATGTGCATATGCTGTTTTACAAATTAATTTGTTATTGCTGTGCACTCATAATTCATAAATAATAATTCTGTATAATTTCATTAGTTTTTCTTTGAACGTATTTATATTTTTTTCTATTGTGGTTTCTTAATCGAGGGCAAGCTTCTATTAAGTGTGGAGGAAGGATATTTGGTAACCATGAGATTAGTTGATTTAAATTATTATAATTTCATAGCTAACAATAACTGAGGCTTAATTGAAATTATGAGACACCAAAGGATCTCAAAAGCTAAAATTTAGGCATCATGTAAGTGTAACGGAAATCAATTGGAACATGTTCTTATTTATATTTACTAAACATAATAAAATTTATGTATTAGTGAATATTCATTATATAAACATAATAAAATTTTTGTATTAATGAATATTATGATTTGAAATATATAATAATACATATTTATTAAATGTATTTATCCTAAATCCTATCCTAAATTTTATATCTTTACAGCCCACTAAAAAGTCAGTTTTAAATTTTACATATTTCAAATGAAACTATTAAATTACCATTAAAAATGTTTGGAAGGGAATGATATTCTGTTATATGTTGAGGGGGGGATAGAATGCAGCAATAGTGACTGATAACTACTGCTGTATTTTATGTTTTCTGAAGCATATATCCATATCATATTTTCAAACATATTTTGACTATTATATTAAAACATCTATTTTTATTGCTATGCATTTGAATATGTTATAAGATCCAGTTTAATGTATTGTTAATGATTCATATTATCTAGATAATTAAAACTTTTAGTATTTTAAAATTTAACTGTATACTAGGAGCTTGATATGCTATATTATTGATGCTTTTTCTCTCATGTTTTAAGTCTATGTAAATCTAATTATTTTTTTACATTTCAGGCATGTCGAATGTGTGGAGACTGTGGTGCCAGGACTCCTGGAAATGGACCTAGTTCTAGATGGCATTTGAATTATTCAGTTTGTGATAGTTGTTACCAGCAGAGGAATAAAGGAATCGCTTGCCCATTATGTGGAAAGGCTTATCGGCAGTTTAGTCAGAGGAAGACAATGAAGCATTGTTCTGTATGCCAAAAGTATGCAATCATTTAAAGAAACTTTTGATTTTTCTCTTTTTCTGTAGTATTAGAAATTTTTTTTTAGCTATTTAATGATTTAAATTGATATTTAGTGTGACACTGGGTAACATGGAAAAATATGTGTAATTTAGTATATTAAGGGGATTTTTATAGTATTCAAAGAGTAATTTTTTATATTTAACAACTTGTCAAGGATTGAATGAAAGTTATTGTTGAATGAAAAGTTTATCTTAATTCAACTTTTTGTTGTGTTTAACTAGTTAACCTGGGTTTTAAATTGTAAACATGCACACAATGAAAATATTACTTTAAAAGGTCTTATGTTCATTTGTAAACTTTAGTGTTAACGCTTGCTTTATTAGCATTAGCAAATACATTTAAAAGTAATCTTGACATCATTAGACACAGTCAAGTTTTTTTTTTTTTTTTTTTTTTTGCTATCGTAGAGCCTCATTTGCTTTGGCAGAAATGACTTCATAAGTTTCCACTTTATTTTTGATTTTGATACATGATTATTCTGCATTTGCTTTCTACTCGTCATATGTTTCTTCAGTAGTTTAACGCTTACAAATTTTAACTTGTAGATTATAATTTATTGTAATTACAAATTTTAATTGTGAACTGTATTTTATTGTAACTTGAACACACATACAAATCAGCATTAAGGAAAGGTTGAAAAATATGAATCTATAGGAAAATATCTTTTATTAATTTTTTTTATCTGCATATTGTTTTAAAGCACTTTTAAAACATAAAAAAAATTGAGCTAAATCTGGAGTGCTATGGAGGGGAATTAAAGTTCGGTATTTTAATTTCTGGCCAAATGTTAAATTGAGTTATATTGTTAAATAAAATGTTAAATTAGAGTGTCTATATTTTTTCACTGCTTTGGTCCTTGCAAATTAATTTCAAAATCAGGACATAATTTTCTTGCTGTTTATTAATATTATATGAAAATTGCTGAATGTAGTTTTATTTTTTATACAGATATATTCACGAAGAATGTGATAGGAGAACAGGTTTGGACACAATGAATTATGTCTGTCCAATTTGTGCAGCTTCTGAAGTAATCACAAAATTTTTATTTGAGAAATATGAAATGCTTTATATATATATGTAAAAAATTGTGTTTTCAGTATTTAGTTTATTTTGTATATTATGATAGGCCTAGCTGGCTATTTTCAATTTGTTTTTAACATTGTGTCAACTTTTTTGGGTGCAGCAATTGAAATTTTAATTTTATTGATACTAATATATTATTATTTGTAATAAGGTAAGTAAAAGTTCCTTTACTAGTAATTATTTCAAATCTTAATTTAATGTTTAAAATGCTCCACTATAATCGTTTTACTTTTAATACATGCATTGCTTTTTTGATAAGTAATTATTCTACCTTGCAGTATATAAATTTCTTATTTCAGGTCAGGAACCTGGATTGCAATTTTGAAGTTAATAACTTGAAAGGTTAGTCTACCTTGATTCTGTCTTTTTTGTTGTAAATTTGAAATTTTGATCATATAGTGACGTTTTTGTATTATTAAGATTATACCTATTCTTCACCAGAAAAAAACAATTTCTAGAAGCCATGTAAAAGATTGGAAATTCATAGTAAAGGGCAAAATGTTCAAGGGTCTGTGATGTATAAATTTTTTGTTGCATAATTGATACTGTCATGATTTTTCGTCAGATCTACAGGTTAAGTAGCTCACTTTATCTTTTAATTTTTAACCTTCAGTAAGGAAAATGACTAAGGAAAATATTTCTGAGCAGTTGAATTAATAAAATGTAAATTATGGAAATTCCATTCCTTCATATCTAGTGATTTTCAGCTTAATTTTTCTCATTGAATTTTATTTCACCTGAATTTTCTTAGTCTTCTCCAGACATCTGTAGTATTTCTATTAAGATTCAACCAATATTTAATCAGTTGTTATTTGTATTTGATTTTATTTCTCATCAATAAAAGGTACATCATTAAACTTATCCATACAATTAAATATACATTACTTGTTAATACTATTTTCATCACATTTAAAAATAGTTTAATGAATAAAAGCTTTCCTTCTTAATTCTCATTAACAAATGCGTAAAAAAATTTCAAAACAAAATTAACCAAAAACATTAAACTTAAATTAATTAGAATATCTAATTAACTATTAATATATTTTGTATCAGAATCATATAATAATAGTTCAGTAATCTTAACCTTACAGTATAAAATAAATTTAAGTCAGTTTAGAGTTTTTTTAAAATGGTGTCACTCTACATCACAAGAAACTCATAGTTTGAGTGAAAACTAAGTGAACACCTAGTTTTCTCTTGAGATCCTTCTATTTTTTTCTTGTTTAAAGGTTGGTAGCTGTGGCATTGCTTAAAAATGTGGCAAAATAAAAAAGCTAAATTGGTGATGAAAATGAATATTATTAAATGATCCTATAGAGTCTTTAAATAAATCACAGATAGAAGAATTCAGCTAACTATCCCAAATTGATCTCTTTGTCTCAGATCCTTGATAGCAGATCAATATGCTGACCATTACAGTACAATTGTGACGTAATGAACTTTTGATTACATGGCGTAGCAGCAAAGCAGATGACATTATGCCATGTGTAAAAAATTGGAAAATTACATTAAGAATACTGTATAAACTGTATAAAATTCTGTTGTTATTGATTATGAGAGTGTGCCAGAAAATTGTAAAAATTAGCTGCAGCATAAAAAAAAAAAAAAAAAAAAAAAAAAAGTGCATAAGGCTTTACTCTTCTGGAACATTCATATACCAGCTTTCACATTTTTGAATCTTTCCACCTGTGTACTATACAATACATGCATAAAGCGCACACATACAGTGTTAGAAAAGCTCCTTATTTTATTATTATAGATAGAAAGCAGTTTGTATTTTGTGTTGCTGTCTATTGTTATTTTTACAAGAATATTTGTATGCAATTGAGATAAATATAATGCTTACTCACTTGTGTAGCATGTCATTGTTCAAAGTGGCCCCTCCTGTCTTGTAATACATCTCTCTCTCTGTCATCTTAATCAGCTCCGCCATTGGCCAAGTGGTTAAGAACTGTGATACTAGTAGTTCTACCTGGCGTGTGTTCAATCCTTGGCAAACAATCTGGCTGGTTTTCATAGTCTTGCCATGCTTAATATGAATACAAGCCAGTTTTCCTCAGAAAGTCCTCCATGAAAGCATCCCTCCTCTTAGGCTGATAGTCTTCATGGCTTTGTCGTATTCAAATAACCTTGCTTAAGAATTTTGGAAATTGTTTTACTTCCTACTTAAAGAACGTATTTGATTGGATGCATCTCAGTTTTGAACAGCTGTGATGATGTATTATCTGCAGCACAAGACATAGCAGCAACATGTCTGATGCCCTTAAATGTCTGGGTTCACATGCATGTTACATCGAAATAACATACAATAATATATTTTTATATATTTTCCCTGCCTGACAGCAGTTAATAACTTGCTGAACAAATTCGTGCTATGGTTAGGAGCTTATATTGTTCTTCATGCATGAGGTGTTTTTGGTAAATGCAAGTCTTAAGTTCATGTTGATTGCAACACTTTCTTTTTGTACAGACCCGGATTATTGCTGTTTGAATGATTTAGTGAAATATTTAAACTGACTTTTGAAACAGTAGTACTGATGTTGTAAGCAATCTGTTGCTTTTAACTAGTTATTTATTTTTTAGATGCAGGACTAAAATTGGTTGTTGTTTTACTGATTTCTTTTTCTTGCCATTTCATTGACCATTCAAATTAAAAAATATAATTTTAGTGGAACTATCTGAGAAATAAAATACTAATTAAAAATGGCAGATTGCATATTACATCATTACTGAAACATCCTTTGAGTTGCCTCTGCTTTAAAGAGGACCAAACTTGATCATTCAGAAGAAATATTATCTTCAAAATGATGTTCTGTTGGATCATGTTTCAGTCTTGCAGATAGTTCTCCCCATTTCAAAAATCATATTTATTATTATTGTTGTTGTGGCTATTATTATCATCATTACATTAATTACACTCCATTATTGTATTTGAAGTATAATAAAAATTTTCGAGTTTGAGATCTCAATAAAAATTTATGATCCTGTGTTTGATGAATTGAGGCACTTCACACACTTTTTGCTCTCTTTCGTGAGTGCCGTGTGTGATTGATGAGATCAAGCTCTCACTACATTGTTGATAACGGTCAGAGTATCTAATATTATTTGTTATGCTGTGTAAAGTTGCATGCAAAAGATCCTATATTCTAGGTCCTATTAACAAGAAATTATTATATTGGTTCAAAGGCTGCATATGTGAGAAATTTCAATCAGAATTTTAAATCTTGTATATGTATTAGGGGAAAAAAAAAAATCTGTGATTTTTTTTTTAAATTTATAAAAGCTTTGATTTAAAAAAAAAAAAATTATCTGTTACTAGAATTGTAAAACTAATTGCACTTCCACAAGGATTAGAATCAGGGTAGGTACAACTTAATTAAAATGAGCAAAAATTAGTTTTATTTTTTAGATTACCATGGACTTCTTTTCACAATTCTTTGAAATGATGCAAAATATGGTTTTTACTTTTCGTATAAAGTAACACTTAATTTCTCTGTAAAGAGCTGCTAGCCACAAATTTCAAAAAATCATTTTTTTCAATTAGATGGGTTTAGAAAATGCAAAGCTTTCTTTTAGGAGGGGAAGCATTTAGATGATTAATACATAGTGTGCTGTGTTGTTTTTTATGTTACATTTTTTTGTGTTTGTAATTACAAAAATATGCATGCATATTTGCTGTTGAGTAAATTTATATCATTTTATTATTTAATTAGTTTTATATAAAGTATAATTTCTTACTTTTTTTTAAATAAAAAACTTTAATAGTTTAAAGTATCAGTGATAATGTACAAGGAAAATGATTTTACATAAAAATAAATTGCTGTAAAAATATATTTGATTAAATTTTTAATTCAACTCTCTTACATATTTTTAATTGAAATTACAAGGAATTGACTGCATGTGTACATTTAAAATTATTATTTCATTCTGAATGCTTTATTATTAAGTATGGTAAATTTAAGTTTTTGTTGTGGTTAATTTTATGTATAGGCCATTGTTTACAAAATTTACTTGTAAATCTGCCTGCCTTAATAGAATGTCATTGCACGTACATGATATTGTTTAATTAAATCTGTAATTGCTAAAATTATATTTTCCATATACATTTAAATTTTCAGTATAAAAATTATTGTGATTTATTCATAACTTTTAACATTTCAGATATATGTCATAGTAGTTCAAGAGATTCCTTTTTAACTGGAAATGAAGAATCATTATCCAGTGCAGATTCAGATTGCTTTTTTGATGCAGTAAGTATTTATATTTTATGATGCTTTTTAAATATGTATCATTTCCTAGTTTTATTTGTAATTTTCTGAGTAAAAATATAGTATTTAATATATGAATTTCGATTGTAAGCAGTGTCGTATTTACGGATAAAAGTTACTCAGCAAAGTGAATATTCTTTTTCTTATATAAATTTGAATTTTAAATGTTGTATTTGAATTATTTCAGTGTCAAGATACAAAATTTTAAATCAAAATGCAAATCTGGCAACCGTAAACCCGCCTTGCAGGGAAGCTATTTTACCATGGCCGGTCATTTTGTAACAATATATTCAGATTTTTTATTTTATCTGAATTCAGAAACCAAAATTTCAATTATCCGTTACTACAGAAGTATTACATAATCATTCCAAATGATGATTATTACAGTGTAGAAATAGCACTTTAGGCTTCCATTTTGGCCTCATTTTAAGTAACCATATTTTTGTTAATGTTAGTTTTCTGTGAATGAAATATCACTTGCCATTTCTAGAAGGAAGAATATTGTACATTGCACTAATCATCATTTGGAAAACTATCAAGCTAATATTTTAATTAATGTTTGTTGTATCTTTGCCTTTGGATTATAGTTTCTCTGTGTACATAGTCTTTGCTAAAACTTTTTAAATATAATTTATTTGAATCAGTGAATTCTAAAAAGTAGAGATGGAATTTGTTATCTATTAAAATGAAACTATAAATGCTGAAATGTAATAATAATGTGTTTATAATGGAGGGCCTATAAATTGAATGTTGGAAAAGTGCAAGGAATAGGATTGAAAATCTTGTCATGAAGTTTAGTAAGTAAATATAACTGGGAAAGTTAAGAAGTCTGCTCTTGAGAAGAACCACTTGGGGAAAAGGGGGATGGAATGAAGTTATTGATAGCATATTATGCATATTTATATCTAATTGTAAAACTCCATCTGCCGTTGACATTACCTCCCTAAAAAAAGAGTAGATATGTTTTTCAACGTAATAATGAATACTGTAAAACAATAAGAGTAGAAATGATACTGATGCATAGAAATAAAAAGAAGTACTGATTTTTAAAAATAAATAAATGTATAATAATTGCATGCGCACACGCACACTACAATGTATCACAGCACAGTATATTTTAAATCTGATTTGCAGGATGTAAATGCTTTTTTTTTTTTTTTTTTTTTTTTTTTTTTTTTTTTTTTTTTTTTTGGGTAAATCATATAATATGTGATTTACCATTTTTATTTATTTTTTAACATAGTGAAACTAAAATTGATTGTTGTTTTACTTTCTTTTTTACTACTTTATTGCATGTTCAAATATAAAAATAGCATTTTAGTGTCACCATTCAAATGAATAACCGACTAAAAAGTTAAGTAGATTGCCTGCTGCATGATTACCCTTTTCTCTATGCTGCTTTGGATTAATTAATCTTCCATTTATCAAGCCATATTCAGGCTTTTGGTTTCACACAGGACATTAATTAGTAGTACCTTATAATTAAATATGCCTCTTCAAGCTGAGCCTCAAATATGTCTTAGTTATTTAAAAAAAAAGGGAAGATAATTTTTTTTTTTAACTTTGTAAATATTTATATATGTTACATAAAGTTTTTTTCTTTTCTTTTTCTTTTTTTTTTTCTTTTTTCTTTTTTTTTTTCTTTTAGGTTAGCAGTAAAATCTCAGGCAGGCGGACCAGTGCATCTGAATTAAGGAGAAAAAAGCCATCTAAATCCAAGTTCAAATCATATTCTGTTCCAGGAATGTTAGGTCCAGTGGTAAGCTGTACTTTGTTTGCATTCATTATTGTTTCATTGTTATATTTATCTGCTATTTTTGTCCATTGAAACTTACAATCACATTACATTCATTTAAAATGACAATTGAATTAAATAGGTTCATTTAAAATGATAAAAACAGCATTCTAAAATAATTCTTATTCTAAAAAATCAAGTCATTTTAGAACTAAGTTTGCTATAAATTATGCAATTCTAATGCATAGTATCTTAAGTAGAAATTTATTATTTTCAAATCTTAATTAACAAAGACATGATAATTTCATTGAATATACTGATTCATATAATATAATTGCGACTTTATGAATTTTTGTACTTTTGCAAAACCTATTCTAATTTCCCAGTATAATGCACAGATTTTCACTTTTTATAGATTTTGCGATTAAAAGATGCCAAAAAGTGTGTCACTCTAGCAATTTGCCACCAGATCTGTACTTAGGGCCAGATTTGCATTTAAATTATTTTGAAAGTTATTGAATTACTTTTTAAATTCATGTTCTTTATGAAATCAGAAATAAGTTCTTTCTTTTTTTGCATTGCTAGTTTGCAAGTTTCTTGAGGATTTTTTTAAACATGTATAATTTTTGTTATGGTGTTATTAAAATTGTTATGGTGTTTTGTTATGGTGTTATAATATTTACATTCCTTAAAAATGTAACTTAAAACATTTTTATTCACTTCTGTAACTTTTAAAAAGCCTTTACCTTTCATTTTGAAATTTTTTTGAATATCTCTTGAAATTTAAGCAAAACAAATTTATAAAACACAATTTCTGAATACTTATTAGCAAAAGCAGAAAAGGAACAGTAATTATATATTAAAATTAATTTTTCATGTCTAATTTACGGCCCACCAGTGGCCGAGCAGTAAAGTCGCTGAACACTGGTAGTTCGGTCCGAGGTTCAAATCCCAGGAACGGGCTGCCTGCATGGGTGTTTTTTGGGTGTTTTTCCTATGTGTATATGAGCCATTTTCCCGTAGAAAGTCCTTCACGAAGGCACCCCCCAGGCAGATAGTCCTTGAGGCTTTTCTGTAATCACAGAAAACAAAACAAACCTTGTCTAATTTAACCCTTTTTTATGAAGTTTCATGTTTATTTTTTAATTCCTTATTTAGCTAGATTTATGTCAGGGCTAAAGGGCTAGCTCATCAGCTTCTCGCGGCTGAAACCGAAAGAAGAGACTGATGACGTAGTTGGGTTCGCTTGCTCAGTTCTGCTGTTCAGTTTCTTAAGCATTTGCTTGAGAATCAAAACGCTTTGAGGAATAGTTTAATAACCAATATGAGCCGAGATTTTAGCTCATGAAATTCCAATATACATGCATCTAATATACGAACTAGTAATGTATTTACGTCATACCAAATTAAACTCTAATATGCATAAAACGTAAGTAAAACATGCATAAACATAACTAATTTTTTAATTAACACATATGCGTAAACATAACTAATTTTTTAGGTCGAGTGTACCTAAATGTAGTAATCTTCTTTCATAATCATCTTTTTAAATATATGTAAATAGTAACCCACCGATAACATACGTAAATTTCTACATTTACGAAGAATTCTTTTTGCGTTAAAATTTCAGTTAGTTGCAAAGTAATTTGCATTATAGAAATGTTAAATAAAAATATGCAAATACATTTTGAGAATATATGCTAAAGACCTTACGCATCTATCCGATTAAAAATTAGTTAATGCTAATAATAGATTTCATAACACATTAAAACGAAACAAATTTCACTTCTTTCATTTTTGCTTCTCAATTAGTGTTGGTAATGAGTAGTAGAATTTTGGAACCTTTTATGAAAGTATTATTCTGAGACATCAGCATTATTATTTAACGTCAATTACTGAAAAAATAATGAAACTATTTAAAAATGGTATTTATATATTTTGAAATAATATCATGTATTCTTACATTTTAAAAGTATACGCTCTGATACTAATTTATGTTTATGCAGAATTTCATGGTTTATTTTATATAGTTAAAATTTAGCAGTCTAAATTAGTATATAATAATATATAATATTTTATATAGTAGTCCAAATAATTATCTGAAACTTGCATAAATTAGGTCACAAATTAAGTGAATAATAAACAAAGTAATGATTCAAATTATTATTTTTGGTAGGAATAATATGAATTAACTTACATGATTTTTTTTCTTATATAGTTTGGTTCGATGATCCTCTATTACTCTTCATCTTATTTGCTTTCTGGTCAGCTTTTCTTGCCGATACAAGGGTTGCATTCCTATTCAAGTACCGAACCCTTATAAATGTTCGTAAAAGGCAAAATAAACGAATTGCACTCTTATTCACGAAGGGAAAACGTTTCTCAAGTTCAGAAATGAGATTCTGAATTACACCTCTACCTTTTCGAAAAGAACTATCATGAAAAGAACGGAAAACATTTTCCATTTTCACCATCGTTTCCATCCAAACTGGTGATGGTACAGTTAATCCTCCTTTAGATAATAAAAATTATCCAATTTGAGTCGTTAGGAATATCTACGAATTTTTTTAATATTTCACCCAAGGTAGGATCTTTATCTTTCACACGATATGCAATATAACCTGCCTACATAAGCGAGCGATTCTTGTTCATATGCAGATATATCTTTCATTGAATCATAAATTTCGGTTTTCCCAAGGAAGTGACATACATTCATCATAGATGTCTTCATAATTAATTAAATCATCTTCGTATAAGGAAGACTCAAACATTTGTGCTTTTTCATTTGAAGAAAAAGCTGTTTCTAACAGCTCTTTTGTCAAATATGCTTCAACTTTCTTCACATCTTCACAGTCATTAGCATTTGTCTTTAACGACAATTTAGGCAATTTGTTTGCCAATAGCAACCTTTTCAGGCGAATTATTACGTCTGATGGAGACGGATGGTCATTAAAACGCCCTAAACCCGAATCTGGCTGAACAATCTTTCTAATACATCTTGAGTCAATCTTGATGTTAAAATATATTTCACATTTATAGATTTTACGTCATCAAATAAACCGAAAAGCGAATTTATTGATATAATAATATCTTTCTGAAAAGGTAGCATTGTCTTCTTTCCGCATACTCTGAGATCAAAAATCATTTGCTTGATCTCATTTAATTTTTCTTTTTGTACTTCATAATAGCTTTCTAGGCTGAAAGCAGCTTTTAAAGGCTTATTGCTAGGGGGTAATGGTACACTACTATTCATAATGTCAAAAAAATCATCAACCATTGAAAAAAAATTACTTGTTGCAGCATTACCAGTCAAATGCATAATTGCTTTAGCCGTTGTGGAGGAAAAGTAATGCTTTTGCTGGTGCTACTTTTTCTGTCTCTCGTTCCTTTTACAGATAAAAATTGAGGTTTCAGTTTATAGCACAGTTTAATTTCTCCGATATCTTTATTGAGTACTTCATATATAACGTCTTTGTTTATAATTGTACCATTTCCGAGAATAAAACCTTTATCAAGAAAATGGTTTCTCAAAAGCTTTATGCAATGCGGCATATCAGCGAAAACCCATATTTTGGTGCTGAACTTGGGACTGTAAAAGAAAGATTTATTTGTTGAAATTTGTAATTCTTTCCAAAGGGTCTGACTACCTCCCATGTCAGATACAATTGCTTTGACTCGAAGCCCAGACGATTCAAGTGCAAACAAAATGGAAGACAGAAGATTTTCCTTCATTTGACGATCAAAATCAAAATAAATGGGCTGTTTCCATTGCGAAATGAGTCCTCGAACCAATACAAATTGAGTCTTTTTAAAAGGACCTAATATCTGATCTAATTTTGAATCATAACAGAGTCTTGAATCTATATGAATTTCATCGAAACTTAATACGCATAATCTTTCTTCGTCAGTTGCATTTTGGCAAGTTTTTTTATCAATAACAGTACATCATTTAAAATGCCAGGAATGCAACTGAATCTTGAGCACCATCTTTTCAGTGTACTTGCACTTGGAAGCGGAATACCCATTTTTTCTTTCCAGAAGTCGTATGACTTTACGGATAACGATCTGATTACTATGCTTTTTGAAATGTCGTCTGGAGACCATTTAATTCGCTTTTTTTTCATTAATGCATTTATTTGAGTTTCGGTAAATATGTTTTGAATATATGTTTTCATTTTCCTTAGTTTTTCATTTTCTTGATTCACTTTTTTAATTTCTTTCCTGAGTTTCTGAACTTTTTCTAATATTAGTTTTCTATTCCTTTTAAATATTTTTCTTTGATGGGAGATAGTTTTTAAATGCTGCTTTCTCTCAGTCTGTAAAACAGAAACCTTATTCTCAAGAGCTGATAGTTTTGTGATTAAATCAATCACATTTTTCTGGAGTTTGGAACAGTTACAACATTGATGAGTAATATTATTTTCAGTGAGCTCCTCATAGCTATTATTGTAATCGTTTTGAAATTCCAGACATGCCTGTTTAGGACTTAAATTCTGAATCATTTCAAATGCACTTTGTAATTTTTTCTTTTTTTGTTGCCTCTGCTGCCTTGGTGTATTCTGATAAATAACTAAGTCAGGAACATAAACAGTTGGAATAGCAGTTGACTTCAGTACCTTTTTTGTCGGTAATCCTAGCAACATATTTTTCATATCATCCTCATAATCAGATTCATTGAAGTAAATGCAAATGCTGCATATTCGAGCACTCTTTGTGTTGACAATATCCGCTCTTCGATACCTATGCAACCATTCTTTCGTTAACTGAATATTTTTGTATGGAAATCTATGAAATACCACGCTAGTTTCTTTCGTATTATGATACGTATTACTACAGGTAGCAACGGCACACGATACCATTTTTTCAATGATTTCTCATTATAAGAATTTTCTAAATTCAAAATCTCTTTAAAAGTATCATCAGTTATAACTTTCCGGCTAAAGAAAGAGAATCCAAGAACTATAGATTCAGTCTTTCGCACTTGATGCTCTGGTCAGTTGGCGACGGGACAAACCCGTGACGTC